GCCTGTACCGTTATTACGAGCCACTACTTCTGTCTCTCTCTCTCTTTCTCCCCCCTTTCTATCTTCGCCGTGTATTATGTACGGCTCTCTCGCGTCTTTTTCACGCTCGAATCTGCGCGCAATCGACAGCTGACGAACTTCATTTTCTTTTCCTTTTTTTTTCACAGTATCGTCCTCGTCATTATATCCTTTCTCGCGCGAGCGCGAATTTACGGCTTTATGGCCATTGTGTATGTGTCGTCGTCGTCGTCGTCGTCGTCGTCGTTGTTGGTGCGAATTAAATGTGCTAATTTTCGAACGGCTATAACGGCTTCCGTGTGACTATTAATCGTTCGCGCGAGATGAGAAAGAGTCGCGCGCGCGGGACACTTGGTTGCACATGCAGCTTTTTATAATAAATTGCTCGCGGAGAGGGTTTTCGACGAGCGGCTGGCTCTCTTTCTTTTGTGAACTTTCAAAACTAGTTTGACCGGCAGCGAGCTCGAGAAGACATTTTTTTTACATTAGGAACTGAAAATTAATTAAATTGTTTCAAAAATAAATAAAGTAGCCTCGTTACGAGCGAGAACGCGAGTTGGCTGCAAGCAGATTTTTAATCGCAAGATTTTATTCATGATACGTACAAATTGATTCGAAATACTTTCACGTTAATTTTAATTTTGCATTTGCAACTCTTTTTTCTTTACAAAATTAATGAGATTTCGTATGAAGGACCAAAAAAACGTCGAGAAACGTCAAATAAATCAACGAAAGTTCGCACGTGCACGCGGCAGACCTCAGAGGCGGTAGCTCTATCTAGGAGACGTTCGCTCAACTCTCGCAAGGCTGGTAACGCTCGTGGATAATGTCGATTTCTTCTCTCGAAACGCGCACGTGCCGCTGTTGTATTCGTATTAATCACGTGGGCGCGCGATCCGGTTTTTTAAATTTAAATTTCGCATCGACAACTTGCTATCGTACTAAACGCAATATATGCATTTTAATGGAAATTTATCGTATAAGGCCATCGTAATCGACGAATAAAAGCTCTAGCAAATTACACAAACTACTGCGTGGAGTTTCGAGTGGATGCGTTTGTGTGCGTTACCACCCCCTTGGATAATATAAAAAATTTACGAGGGTAAACAATCGGACGAATCGATACGGAGCTCTTTGTTTTATTTTTTTTTTACCGTGCGCATTATTATTACTATCGGTAAGGATACATCCCTCGATGGTAACTGAACTGCCACACCCTCTCCGCGGCTATGACTGCACTCACACGCGCAGCACACACAGAGAGAAAAAAAACAAAAGAGAAAAACTCCGAGTGTACATGGATCGGTGGCGTGGTTAAAAACCTTTTCCCTCCCCCTCGCAGATATATACAGTCAGGAGCAACGCAATTACGATAATGACGAAACGAGCGCAGCGCGCACGGCAGCGAAACTCCTTTAATATCTCAGGACATGTATACCTGCTACTGGTATACGTACGTAAACGCGATCGTGCAGTTTTCCTCTGCATGATTTTGTCCATCGCGCGTATCGTAGCTTCAACGTATCGTACGATCGACATGTATGTTCACGTGCGACGAGGAGCGCAAGAAAGATAGAGAGAGAGAGAGAGACGCGTGAGTCACCTGTAACATACTCGTGTATAAATGAGGAATGAAGGAAGAAAAAAATTATGTACGTATATAATACTGACCACTGCGAATAGAGACGCCGAGTCTAACACACACATACATGTACGAGCGGCATATGTCGCGTAATTGTAGCCGCACACGCGACATTTGCTTCACCCTCCCGCGTGCATATATACGTTATATACGTAATGTACGTACACGAAGGCGGGATGTGTAATATATAACAAAGAGAGCAAAAAAATGCTAGGAGAGGATAGCATCGAAGGGAGAGAGGCTCTGAGGTAAGACTCCGACTGGCTCTACTACATACAATATATGTGTAAGTATTACTTCGTGCGAGACTTTTTTCTCTCTCTGTCTTCTCTTTCTAAGGCTGCAGAAACTGAGAGAGACTTTGCCAAGTAGATTACGATACATACGTCGGTGGTACTAGTGGTGGTGCGGTCGTCGTCGTCGTCGTCGTCGTCGTCGGAGTTTTATGACTTTTCTGTAATTTTCTATGTGTCATAAACGCATGACATGTATATCGGGAGGAAAATAAAATGAAAATAAATATAATAAATAGACAAAAGAAGAATCGTCGAGGTCTGCGAAAAATTAGCGTCGCGATATTTAAGATCCGTTCATTGGCCATTGTTTTGTCGTACGCATTGACAGTCTCATTTGAATTCCACCCATGCAGAAAAAAGGCAGAGACACTGTATGACTTATAGTCATTTCTACTGCAGCGACTCGATGTGTATTTAAAAATTCTCGCTGTAGCATACATTTCAAAGATAGGACTTTTTCGGTGTTGTTGTATAAAATCATTAAACGACGCCCGCGTCTATTGAGCGATGCTTTACAATGAATATAAAAAAAAAGGAAAAAAGATGAAACTCCTCCTTCGAGGAGGGGGAGCATCGAGAGCGATGTGCTTCTTACTACACACAACAGGCTTCGAGGTGGATTTTTACAACTTCGAGCTATTTCGACAGCGGTAGAAAAACGATTCTAAGACACACTTAGAATACGAATTGAATTCTGGCGAAGTTCGCTGAAGAAAGGAAAAACCCCGAAGTGTGCATTATGTTTATGCTCTTTTATTCATTTTACATGTAGAGAGAACTTCTTTTTAAACAAGAGAAATTATATACTTTATAATATAGTTAGGCTCGGGTATATAAAGTTATTAAAGAAAAATAAATAATACCGTTTCGAGTTTCTTTCTGCTTTATTCGAAAGAGAACTTTTATACGCGACACGCCTGCGTGCGATCGAAAAAAAAGTTCGCTTTCTTGCGCATACATACGTCAATAAGCGTCAAATAAGAACCACCTCTCGTACTTTCAACCCCTGCTCGTTACGTTAACATGCGATATTTGTTCAAGCGAAACGCATCGCCTTTCGCATACCGATCAATTTTCGACAAAGAAAAAAAGGAAAAGTGGAGAGCAAAAAAAAATTCGGTACACCGGAGACCATTATTATCACGCGCGATAGAAGGGTAAAAGCAGAGAGAGTCGCCGCCGCCCTCGACGCAGGAGTCGGTTTCCTTCCGGAATCAAAGTCACGATAGCACATCAAAGACTTGTGTAAGGTAGCAGTCGTCGCCGCCGTCTTCGTCGTCGTAGTTATTACTAGGGGTCAACGGCATCCCTCTCTTTTGACTATTTCACCGTGATGCACACAAATTACTCTCGCTAAACTGCAGACGTCTCTCGTGCTGCTATGCTCCTTTATATATTTAACGAAAAGCCGCCGCGCGTTTAACGCGTGTATATTGTGCACGTGCGCGCATCTTTTTAATGCGCCTCTCTCTCTCTCGGAGTAGAGTCGTGTATTTTAAGAACCCGTCGTCGTCGTCGCGATGTCCAGTTCGGGTAAAGTAATTCGCACCGTTACACACACACACGGAGAAGACGACGAGCTTTATTTTCGTATACAAAACGAGCTTGCGTCGCGAGTACGTTTTCTCTCTCAAAAGGGCTGCACTACCATTAGGCAGTTTACTTTTGGCAGCTGCGGAATTTTCTCAAGCACGAGGCACTTTTATTACTTTTCCCCTTTGAGCGTGTAATAAAACGACGCAGACGTTGGCGAATAAATATCGCGAGCTTGATAAGCATCGCCGTCGTGTCCTTTTATCGTCCTGCCGGATGGAATTTATGATTTTCTCCGGAAAATGCGAGCGAGCGCATGACGTTAACCTAGATATCTGCAACTTGGAACGTCCTCGACGACGCGAGACGACAACGAGTAAAGGGGGATGCTTTAATGGTAACATTGAATTAGTTTCTCGAGCCTCAACGCTCGATGACTACATTCGATTCGATGAATCACGCTCGACGAAAGAAAATAAAACACGCATTGTTTTTCTCGATAACGCAGTAGAGAAAAGTATTCTACTCATTTTTCGAACTTCCCTCTCTGTACGCGCACATTTGGCGTTTCTGCTGCGCGTGGCGCATTTAACTCCACACACGCACGCACACGAACGTACCATATAACACAGCACGGGCCGCAGGATCTATCCGGTTATATCCGGTTAGGAGCAGCCGCCGCGCGCATATTTTCTCCGCATAGTACCGAGAGCGCAACGCTGCTACTTCTTATATGTGTATATATTGTATTAAAATGTAGGTACGTATGTACCCATTGCCCAGGTAAAATCGTAGACGCACCGCATGTGAAATCTCTGTATGCTCTATGGACACGAGTATTTATGATCTCGAGGTCACTATATAGTACGGAGAGCGCGTTGATTACTTCGTTAAGATGGACAGTCGCGATGGTCGGTACAAAAAACACAAATATATAATCACGGCGAAGGTGTACGTACGATGCAATTTTTTTTTTTTTTTTCATTCTATAACAACAAGGGTGTGTTGCGAGTCGGAATGTCGTATACAGGGCGTGTATATGGCAATGGGGTGGACTGCACATTACACACACAGCAGGATGACGAGCTCACTTTTTGACCGTTTTTTTCTTCTTCTTCGACAATTCGAAATTTTCGCATTGTCGCGTGTCGCGTTGCGCTCGTATACCCCCGTAAAACGAAGCAATCGAACGTCATTATATTCGATGTCATTATATTTTATAGTTTTAGAAAATTATCGACAGCTCACGACAGAATGTTTATTCATCGAAAGATGCTTTGTATACAGCAGACGTGACGAGGGTCGAGGAGCAGATGCACGTTTATGTAATTAAATAAAAAAATACAAAAAAATAAAGACAAAAGAACACTGGACATTCAACGGTCGCATCTCGCGAAAACGTATACCCATCGTCTTGTCTTGCTCCGAAAATCGCAAGACGAAACACACACGCGAGTTGAGATAATCTATGTAAGAGAGAGATTGTTGTGGCATGTATTGCTCTTACTCACTTGCTCGAATTGCGTCCAGCAGCCAAACCCTCGAATGTACCGGTCGACGTCATGATGAGATGAACTTCTTGGCGGTTATGTTCTTGCGTTTAAACAAAAAATGTGTATACTTCCCGTAAAGGATGTATCGCGTACGCGTGCGGCGGAGGGCTGCGATTTATTTGTTTATATCGAATGGAGTCGTCGTCGTCGTCGAGAGACAGAGCTGTAAAAAAGAGCGCGTTTGGCACCTCGCGAGTCACAGAGCACTAAGACACAACTAAATAGTCGAAGCGACGAGCGAGAGATTACATATACATGTATATATGTACGTGCGCGCGTTTTGTTGTCTATACAGCGAGTCTATATGGGCGAGAGACAGAGCGAATGTTGAAAAACGCGACGAGACAGAGACGGAGAGAGAGAGAACGTCTGTTCTCGGTTGTACATGCGTATCGCGTGCTTATATGCGCGAGAGTGCGAGAAGGAGAGAACGAGAATCCTATATGTAAACTTGTGTATATTCAGCAGGCAGCGCAGCGCTGATCGGACGGCTCTCTTACTTTGTATATATATCTACGTGCATGTACGAGTAAGTTCAATGCACACAGGTACACAGTGTATATGTATGTGTGTATAAGAGTCGCTGCCCTGTTGTGTGGCTGCTACTGGCCCCGCGCGCGAGGATTTTCTTTCTCTCTCTCTCTCTCTCTCTCTTGAACACTTGCAACTGTTGCCAACTTCGTGCGCGCGCAAATTCAGAATTGCACCACCACCGAAGGCCGAAAACCAACGATATATACTTTATATCACGATGAGTGTTTCATTTTATTCGTTGGAGATTTCTTTGTTCGCGATAATGAGCTTTAAATAGCACGAGTGTATCTATCTGACCGATTAACACAGAGTCTGACTTTCGAACGAGACGAGCCAAACTGCGAAACTGCGCCGCGCGATGTTTCTTCAACCGTCGCAAAATTTGAATTTTATGCGAACGCCGAGGGGGTGAGAAAAAGATTTTAAATGAATTTGTATGAAAGATATCTCGAGGAAAAAGTCTGGTCGCGTTGAAAAGTTATTATCCGAGTATGCAAATGAGCATACACGCGGCGGCAGTCTTGGTATCTCTCTCACTCTTGATTAAAATTCTTTAACGGCTGCAGCAAGCCAGGCCAGCCAGAGGCAGTGTTAACTTGTACTGATCGGAGGAAAATGATTCATCGGATAGACATCTCTCGTACAGTACTAACTATACGTGGCCAACCTTGAGGGTTCAGGTTTTTACATGGACACTTACCAAATGGTTAATTTGATCATACTTTTACCGAGATAACAGTCGATTTTTTTCAAATAAAAATAAAGAACGATCAAAGTTTATTGTTTTCATGACAGTTTATTTCGTAGTAACGCAACCATAAAATATACTTCTTATAAATAGTACTTTTTCATCTGTTTTTTTTACTCAAAAATCATAATGCGAACCGAATTATTATAAATACAAGTTCGTAAATTCATCGTGCACGACAGTCCTAACGAAACTCGTGCCCTCGTATACAGAACACAATTTATTTTTTTTTCAAACATTCAAGCTTTCTTTTTTTAAAATATTTACATTATCCACTAAAATGTTTTCAATTGAGAACAATATACAATAATCATGAAATCATCCGAAGCGATTACGATGCCAGCGAAATATCGCGTAGCACCGGTATTTTGGGGTCAAACAAGCGCATCGTCAGATTTTCTTTTTTCGCGAATTGCGATTTAAAATTGAATCGATCGACTCGGATTCATGGTTACCTTTGGCCGTGCTCGCAAGTGAAATTAGACGCTGCTTTTCGAGTCAGTTTTTTAATTTTATTATACACTGATTCCGTTACATTATAAATAGCTATCATTGTATAAATTTAATTCTAAAAAATTTTCAGTTTCTGAAGTATATATTAATTGCTATCGGTTTTTTTTACTTTTCTTTTTTTTATTATATACCTAATTCATTTTACGCGACACAATCACATCTCGTAGAGTAAGAATAAATCATTGATTTTAGAATCGATAAACCTAATTCTATCAAATAACACTTCTGGGTCAAAAATTTACAGGAACTGCACACGGTTCGCTATAGTTGATCAAAAAAAGAGATTATTGTATACATGAATAATTACAATCGCAACTTCATAAACCGAATTCATGCTTACTTCGGTTAATTATTCTTAAAATTAATTATATTTTACAAAAACCTATTATTTCCTTATCGCAGAGTATGTAAAACTGTTTTAACAAATCGAATTAGTTAGTTAATTTTCTTGTTTGAATTAGCGGTATTTCGAATTACATTAGTCGAATGTGTCAACCTACAGTTCAACATCCACACAATCCGCGTCACAGATCCAAGTCTATGGTCCCTTCAAGTGCCGGAAGGAGGTGGTGGCGGTGGCGGTTGAGCTAGTAAATCGGATAAACTGTCCAACTGCATACTCGGGGGTGCAGCAGTAGTCGAATGCTGCGGCGGTGGAGTAACCGGTCAAGCAATCGGTGCGGGTGGATGGTCGCTCTAACTGCTGGGAGGAGGTGGCGGCGGTGGTTGAGCTAGCAGATTGGGCAAACTGGTCAGATCGATGCCCGGTGGCGCAGGAGTAGCCGAGTGCTGCGGCGGTGGAGGAACCGGGGCGGCCGGAGGCCAACCCGGTGGTGCGGGCTGACCCCAACCACCTCCGTATGCCATGGGGGCGCTCACAGGCGGCGGCACGGTACCCGGGGGAGGAGGCCGCATGCTAGGCGGCGGCACTCCGCCCGGAGGCGGTGGCACCGGCTGCTGACCCGGTGGAGGAGGCGGCGGAACTTGGCCCGGGGCAGGCGGTTGACTAGGTTGCTGCCAAGGCGGCAAACCCATACCTGGCGGGCCCATCTGCATCTGGCCTGGTGGAGGTGGCGGAACCATCTGGCCGGGCGGTGGCGGCTGAGCGCCGGGTTGCGTCATCCACGGCATCAGCGGCGGTATGCCCTGGGGCGGCTGCGAGCCTGCGCCAGGCGGCGGCGGTGGCGGTGCCATGACACCGGGCGGTGGTGGCATGCTCACGGGCGGCGGTGCCATCGAGGCCGGCGGCATGCTACCCGGTGGCGGTGGAATAGCGGCCTGCTGCGCCCACTGCTGAGCCATTCCCTGCATGCCGTTCATGTCGGCCTGCTGCTGCCACGGCGGCGCCATGCCTGGTGGCGGAGGCATCATGCTGGGTGGGGGTCCAGCCTGCATCATGCCCGGCGGTGGATGAGCCGGTGCCGCCATCAGAGCTCGAGGAGTCGCGTTTCGGTTATCGAACAGCGGATAACTCGTGGTGGTCGTCGTTTTCGCGTTCGAATTGCTATTGCTGGTTTTCGGAGGAGCTGGTCCTTCTCCTAGTTCAGCCATCAATGACATGTACTCCTCGTCGATTTTGGCCTTGTCACCGGTGGCTTGATTGGCCGCGGCAGCGGGTCCGCCCAGGCCCGGTCGCTTCGAACGACAATCGCGCGCTATGTGTCCGGCGCCCCCGCAACTCGAGCACACGATGTTATTGGTAACGTTCGGTTTGTCCGGGCAGAGCCAAGATTTGTGATCGCTGGCGCCGCAATTGGTGCAGCGTGGACCGTCGTTCTCGCGCAGAGTACCGTTGAGCAAGGCTAATTCGCGCAACTGATTGCGTCGCAAATCATTCTGACCCTCTGGTACCTCGACGCCTTGACGAATAATTTCGTGAATCTAGAATCAGTCGAGTTGAAAATATAAATAACATTTCAAATCGAATTTGTATGAGTGTTTTTGTACGTGTTCTTGACACTTACCCTTTCGACTGCTTTTTTTACAGCCTCGACATTGTTAGCTGTAATGTAAGCGTGCAGAGGTTCATCCTCGCCAGGTAGTGGCTGGCCGTCTTTACGACCCACCTTGCCTTCCTTTACGCTGCCTTTACCTCGAATAATAATTTTAGCCCCAGTCTCTTTTTCCATAGCTGAAAGTAAAAACATTGGTCAATCACTGTCGTTTGGTTTAAAATTAAGAAATTTTAATCCAAGGATCACTTACATTTCAGAGTGTTTCCACGTGGTCCAATCAACAGTCCTACAAAATTGATGTCCGGATGCTCTTCTTGAGGGATCATAACTTTATCGTTGACTCGAATGATGGGAGGCCTAGAATTTATAAAAAAAAATTACAATCAATTTTTGTTTCTTTCAAAAATTGAAGATATTATGCGAATTAAATTACTCACTTGTAATCTGGTGGAGGTTTGAATTCAGGATTGATCTTCAAAATCTTCTGTATGAGATTATGCCGATCTTCTTCCAATTTTCTTCTAGTCCGGTACTCTCGGGTGTTTAACCGTTTGCCATCGCTGCTGTAAATTGGCTCGGGCGAGGGCGATCTGGAAGAAAAAAAAGGCAACGATCTTACACACCTAATATTGATAATGCTATAACGTAACAAGCAGCCTGTCTCTGAATAAAAAAAAAATGAATTTAGCTTTGGTGCTACTGCTTTCATTAGCATCGAGAATTAATGATTTTAAGATTGAATTTTGAATAATTTTTTCTTTGCACTTTATTTGTCTGTATTGCACACGATTTTATTTTCAAGGAAAATTTCGTCAATTATTCGCTTTGTTCTTAGAACATTAATAATGTACTCCTCAGTTTCTGTTGGCACAAAAAGCTATACAGAAAATGTGTCGGTTTACTTATTGGGTGATAACCAGTGCCCTGCCCAAATTTTCGCAGAACTGTTGCTCAGCTGCTAATCGCTAAGAGAGAATATTAAAGTCCTGTGATTATTATGGGGAAAAAATTAATTTTTCTAATTAGTAATAAAGTTGTATTCTCGAGTGCAAGTGTTCTGATATTAATCTAAATAAATAAGAATCATTAGAAGCCCTATTGGGAATTATTGGCATTAGTTTTTTTTTCTGAATTGGTATTTTTTGACTTTATGTAAAATAGCTGAACCTGAAAGTAACGGAAACTGGATAATTATTCAACGTAAAAATTTTGTTAAAATATTTCTGTTTTATAATGACCTGATATAAGTTTTCCGTTATTATAATTCTACCTAAAGGGTTGTAACATTTCATTAGATTAATATTTCTGCTGAAAAAAGTTATCGATTTTTTGTATGTTAATTTATCATAATGTTACACCAAGTTACATGGTTTTTTCCTGAATAAAAATAAATATGCCAAATTGTGATAAAATATGCATTAAAATTCGCTCGCGTTTGATTCAACGATTATTTCAATGTTAATAAAAAATTATTTTTCAAAGCTTGAAATACTTTTCGTACTATAAGCAGCACTGTATTGTATTATTGATTCGTTTAGTTTCATCATCCTATAAAAATAGTTTTAAAAAACTTGATGATGTAAAAATTGGTTGTATTATTCATGAAAGATTCAATATTATATTTTGAAAATATTCAAGTCTGTAAATTATTCGATCTGATAGTTTAGACTTTCAACGAAGACAACACAAATGTTCGTGAAATTTTAAAATCGTAAAAAAAAAGAAGTATACATTATCGCACGAACAACGTGCAATTGCTTATGAATACTGTTTAATGCTCTATTAAAAACATGCATAAAGTTTTATTAGTAGATCTTTTGTGCTCGCAGGGCTTAGAAAATCGGACGGCTATATAACGCTCTCGGGCAACGTGAAGAATCATCATTCGTCACGCTCATGAAGCAACGTTCCCTTTTATAAATGAGTCTGTTTTTCCTCGCTCGTCGAGCAGCGATATAATAAGCTGAGAGATATGTTATTAAGCTGTATGATTCGAGAAATGAAACAATTATGTTACAGCATGCGAAAAATGAGACGTACACTATGTGGAACGTTTGTATCTAATTAGATAGTTGAAAATAAAATACATTTATCGCATACTTTTGCTCGCAACACCATTTACACTGAATTAATGTACTGACAACTTTTTTCAAAATATAATATTCAAATTTTTTCACTTTCCTGATTGTATGGTAAGTAACGTTATCATTTTAAAATTCAAGTGTCTGAATGAGATAGTATAAGAATAAAATTTCCGTCTGGACAAGGCTTTTTCATAAAAAAATTGATTGTAAAAAAGTAGATTAGATCAAACCAATATTCTCATATTATGCCTTCTTGTAGAGATGCTAGATGAGCGCTTATCATCATTGGGCTGAGTGTCTAAATAATTTTGCGCATCCCTCAAATACTTAGACAGTTTCAGAAAAAGTATCTGGAGCTACCAAACTGTGGGTTGCTGAATTTGGTCAGCAGATAGAAGCATATAACGGTCAAATTTGTTGAAAACTATGAATTGTGTCAAACCTTTCTTCTGGATTAATTGATATTCCAAGATCTCCTGTACGCAATTTTCTGCTGATTTCTTCAATTTGTAGTTGGTCTGGAAATAAATGGGTTAGAAAGGGGTACAAACCCCAATAATTAGTTATATTGATTCTTTAAAAATAATACAGAAGAAATTTTCTATAGATTAAAAAAGTTCATTAATGATTCGCATCATAAAATAATGTTATAAAATTTTGATTTTCAACCTGCTTTTTTTTATACGCCTTACCTCCAACATCATTAATTTAAAATCATTTCCAAAAGCTATCTATATTTATCCACAAATTATTTATAAAAAAAGTTTGATATGGATAAATTAACAGAAAGAATAATAAAATTAATATAGAAAAGATACTTACACAAGTAAGCTTTCTCCTGCTCTGGGGTGAGGTTGGTGGGTAGAACAGTGGGCATTCCTGGAATGAAGATCTTTTCATGCTCGCTTCCACCCCATCTGGATTTCCTCCTCTTACGACGTTCCTCTCTAGATTCCTTCTCCGCTTCTGTCAAAGAACATGGTACATTAGAAAAATTTGATAAGAACCTTCTATCCACAGTGTATTCAAAAATCAAAAAGCTCAAATTAGGTTAAATATATTTATATCTCACAAATTGATGAGTTGTGCTACTCGAAGAATTTTCAATGATAGAAAATGGTATTGCTGAACAAAGCTTTTTAAATGAGTGAATTCAACTGATATGATCATAGAATGAACTAATTGAATTGTGCTTAAAGAAAGCTTTGCTCTTATGATTGTTGCTCATAACAAAAGCTCTATCTTCGCAACAAGGAGAAAACGTACGTCTACATTACTTCACACTTATTTACCTTCATTTTCGCGTTTCTTGGATGAATTATTGGTGGGTGAGTACGGAATTCCATTAGCTATCGCCGCCGACACAGCTGCAGCTGCAGCGGCCGCCGCAGCCGCTGCACTCGAAACTGTAAATCCCGAAGAATTCACAAAACTTCGCGACATGATGGATTTTTTTTTGGGACGTTATGTCACATGCACAATAGAATATTCTATTTTAAAGTCAATCAAGTAACCTTTTTTTCTTCTTCTTGCATTAAAACACTATAACACAACGTAGGCAAGAGACAGCGAGGCACGCGAGTCGAGAGATTATTGCCAAGATGGCGAGAAAGAGGTGTACTCCCGACAACGACAGACAACCGACAGCTGCAGTGCTGGACGCAGACAGTCCAAAACTCGAGAGCTCAGAGCACGAGACGCTTCTACATACCCAAGAGGTTACCTTTAGAGTCGACTGAATGCGCACAAGTAGCGCCAACTTTGAACAGTAATATTATTATTAGACTTCGATGTTCAAAGGCTCAAAGTTATTTGATATTATTTTTCATAGTTGGCAGTGCATATCGCAATGAGACGCGAAAAGTCTATGACACCATGCAGATAGCCCCAAACGAGTTTGCAAATTGGCGCGCAGCCACAATTGCGGTAGTTGCTTATCGTTATTGAGTATTTCACCGTCAAAAGGGATCGTAAATAAAATGTCAATGATGCAATATTTATAGAATTTTGGGTTTATTATTTCAACATATGAATTTTACTAATTATTGAGAGAAATCGATGAGTATCACATTTGGTTCGTATTTTATCGAGTATTCAACAATTCCAATTATCAGATTATCAACAAATAAAATTAATTACAAAGGTATAAACATATTCAAGACGCGAAAAATCGTTTAGATGATTCTTTTGATTTTCCAATCACAATTCTTTCATAACGTTATTCGAGCGAATTTAAATAGCATATGCAACTCAAATTCAACACACAAATATAACAATGTTCTATAAAAACACTTATGCTGTACAATAATAATCAATATTTCATTTTTCGTCATTATTCTATAAAAATTCAATCAGTTGCTTATAAAATCTTTGCGTCTTAATGTAAAATTTTATCAAAAATTGATATTAACTCTTATTGTAATTATTATTATCACATTGCCTGCTATTATTAGCATTATTTCAATTATATTTTCAAATTTAATTACTTTTTTTGGACAATTTTTGCATATCTTTTCAATAGTACAGAACAACGATAAAAACTATCATTTCTATTCTTCAAATTATTATCTATTCGTAAAATTTCTTTAACAGTAAACTAGTTCTAACAAAATACTCTAAAAATTTTCAATTAATAGATGCAAATAATTTTTTTTTTACCTTAAAGCTACGTAATTTCTTTCATAACAATACGCGTATTTTTTAAAATAATTTGCTTCAATATTTAAATAAAATTATTGTAGAAAGACATTCTTCACCAATACATTTGAAACACAAGTTCATTTATAAAGAGTGTATTAATTAGCTCAATTCATCCGTGCATTGTTTTCGCTCTTGCTCAACTCTTTGTTTTGTTCGATTAAAAGCTTCAGTTTTTACAAAATCGACTGTTTTATAAACAGTTGATACTGGTGGTGCCTGATGCTGAGGTTGAGCAGTTGCATTATTTGAACTATCAGAAGCCTCAAGATCCAAGTCAAGATATTGTAAGACTAATAAACGACGATTTGAAGCTGGTACAAATTGATCATCATCTTGATAGAAATATATCTGATAAAATAATATGGGTGAATGAGCAATTGAAAATAAGAAATTTATTCAACTTCTATTATTAGATTAGATCATAATACCTCTTCTTTTCCATCAAAAGGACAACTATCATCATCTAGAACCAAAGGACGTCGACTTTTTTTCGTTATTAAAGTAGGACTAGGACTCATTTTGACTTTACTTTGATGGCTGAATGGATTAACCAGGTGTAATGTGTCTAAAAAAAATTAAAATGATTAAATGGGTAAAATTCACAGTATTTAAATGTATATAAAGAGATTTTTTACATACCATCAACAGAAGGTTTGGCTAAAGGTGGTTTTAATTTTCTGTTTATGCTTGGAGGCTCCACGTGATCTGTTGAGTTTGCATTGACATCTTCTCTAGTTGCTTTTAAAGATGATTCAACACTCTCATTTGAATCATTGATTTTTCGACCTGGTTTCAATTCTCTATATACTAATGGAGGTGGAGCTGGCACAACTATTTTAGGTACTGTATTGGCATTGTCCTTGCTCAAAGGACTAAATTGTTTATTTTGAGCTGTTAAATTTGAATTGTTGGTATTTTCGTTATTATCGAAATCATAACGAAAAACATTATCTTTTTCTTTGGGAGTAGTAACATTGTAATTCTGCAGCAACTGTTGCTGTTTATTCAAAGCACTTGCATCAGTTGCTATAGCTCGCTGACGCAATTTTAAACTCGATGAATGGGAATCAGTGTTTGTGGCAGGTGTAGATGGTGTGGTGGGTTTAGAACTTTCCGTTGCACCATCCAAGTTGAGATAATTGTGTCCAGGACTATCGTTCACATGACTTGGCTTTGGAGGTCTTGGAGGGATTGATATATCGTCATCTGCATTGGATAACTTAACAGAGTCATTTAATTGCTGTTTACTAAAACGCTTTTGAACACTGTAAGAATGATTTCCAGCACTACTTTTTTTGAAGTTTGGTTTCAAATCACCTAAAATGTTTATTATATCATCAAATACATTTTCACATTCTTTATAGATTTTGGAGCGAACTATCATTTATAAAAATAAAGTAAATAGGTGATTTCATACCAGCAGAGGGAAAAGTATCCCAATTAACATTAGGCAGTGATGGAATAGATTCATCATCAGTTATAATACTTTCAGCATCAGTATTAGGAGATCTTGGAGGTGATGGTACTAGTCTTCTTAGGTGATAATTATCAATGGATTGGCCAATTGTAGAATTAAGAGAGCTTGTATCGTTGAGACTTTTTCCTGAAATGCATTCACTTATTGGAATATAAGGACTCAATAGAGTGCTAGTAGGTGAAACAGGAGGTGATTCTTGTGCATCAAATGAGTAAACTGAAATGATAAAAAGAATACTTAAAATAAAGAATTGGAGAAAAATTATTAATATGATTCAAAGCTTTACTTTGACACTGTTGTTGTTCCTCGTAAGCTTTCAAGTTGCATACTTGACAAATAGCATCAACCCATTTGTTCATTTCGGCTTCCGTAGCAGCGCTCAAATAGTAAACCCTGCTTGGGGTTTTGACGTTAAATAAAAAATGATACTTTTCCTTTTGATTAATGAGACTCAATCCGGCATCCACCTGAAGAAAAAAGACTTTCATATTATTCAAACTGTCTCGGCAAATAAAGTGCAAATTAAAATATTTCAAACAAAGATAAAAACCTGCTCGCATTGATCGAGATCTATCCTGCCTTTGAGCTTTCTGCAATCCTTATCAACGTAATATTCCAGGAAATATTGCCCAGGCAGTTCTCCGCTGTGTCTCAGGGTGAACCATCGTTGTCTCCATCTCTGTTGAGAAATAAAGAAAAAAAATATCGATAAACAACACGAAAAAGGTTTCATTCGAAAGATAGAATACTATCTTCCGACAGATAAGCAGATGCATACAAAAAAAAAAGTGACATCGCATCGCGCGCTCGAATTATACACGCTCTTACACTCTCGCTCATATATACAAAGCGCACGCGTTGTATTATATCGGAATGCAAGTGTATGACTAATAGCAACTTAAAATAATAACTGGCCATTCGTTCTCATGCACGTCGAGCATATTCAACGGTTTCGCCTCTGTTTCTCTTTTTCGCATGCCACGACGATGATGATCGCTCGTAATGATCATCGTCGTTAGCCTCCACTCTCTTCTCTTTATATATAATAAAATAATAAATTAATGCTCGGACTCTCGTGTGCAATCGGTCGGAGCGAAAAGGGGGAAATTCGCTCCGATGCAGCACAGCCTTTTATATGTATATACGATGACAACAAAGTCATTTAACCTGCACTCGCGCGTTCATCGCGCCGATATCATTATATTACGAAGCTCGATCGAGATGAAAATTCCGTACGTCACTTTTGATCATTGCACCATATATACTCACGGCTTTCCATAATTTGGTGGGCGGCGACTTGATAAGCCAACCTTCCTGCACTATCTCCTTCGTCGTTGCATCCATCATAGTCTCGATTCTCGTTGTTGATGCTTCGTTTTATATTGTTGCTGTCGTCGTTGTCGCTCGATCAACCGCATCGTCGCGCACTCTTCACCAGATAAATGCATAATACTCAACACGTGAACATAGAGAAGAAGAACTTTTAACTGCTTCGCACAAAATAAACGAACAACAGCAACGACTGTAAACACACTCCTACGCGAGTAGTATCGTTGAATGGCAATTGATAATCACGAGTAGAGCAGCAGCAACAGTATAGCACGCGAGGGCGTCTCGTGTGTTGTTGTACACCGAGCAGTGTCAGCTGCTATATACCGAGCGCAAAGCAATGTACCAGAGTTCGTTCGCGTTCGACACTCCATCCACACGATTCCTCTGTATACTTTGATATTTCTCTCCCCTTCTTGCGAGCGCGCGGACGATGATCGTTGCTCCTCGAGTGCCGCCGCCGCAACTGAGTAATACAGAGAGAGCAGCGCAACGTATTCATCTCTCTTTCTCTCTGCGGGTACTTTATGAAAATATATAAACGTGCATGTGGCCGTTACATACATTATCTCCGTGATTTCAAAGGCGCGGATCGTTTTAGAAAAAAAAGAAAGAGAGTCGAGCTGCTCGAGGGGGAAGAATGAATGATGTCACGCTCGCGAGATAAGGATGAGCTTGGCGGATCGGCACGTAGTTATATAGAAACCGCAAAATTTTGGAAGTTCTTCGAACGGCGAGCTACTGCTTCTTTTTATTTCTTTCTTTCCGTATACAACGCGTGTCCGCGTTGTTGATTCTCTATCTATCTCATATACTGTAAGGAGTGGTCATTGCGATGATATTTAGCAATCGCTGACCCGAACGGACGGACGCGCGTGCAAAAGCGTGTAACGGGTTTATCGAGCGCGTAGTATAATAAGTTGGATGTTGCAATTTTTAGCACACTGTGTTCCGTATCTCGTTCAAGGATATAACAATAATGAATATGTAAAAACGATCGTGAATGAGCAACGACGCGGTTTCGTAAATAAAATCATCGTTCTTATTTTTCGACGTAGATACTAACACCTACCCCTTCACTTTTTTAAATGAAGGAAGTTTGAAGGAAAGAGCAACGAAACCGATGAATTTTAAATATCCTCGCGAAGGCCGATACAATATATTATACCCCTCGCGGATTTAATAAATATATAACAAAAACAAATCCGCTCTTTAACGCGCAGCGTTCGCTGTAGACTCGTGCGTCGCGTGCGTTTTTAAAACGAGAATGAATCATCGGCTGCTGCTGTTGCGCGTGCTGCTCTCGGAGCTGGAGTGAAAAGAGAGAGAGAGAGAGAAAAAGAGCGAAAAACAAACCGTAAGGAACTTGACAGTCTCTCGCGGCGGCCGCAGAGACAGGTTCTTGTAATTCTTTTTTTCTCTTTTTTCGCAATGCAGTGTATAAGACGTACGTGTGTGTATAACTTCATTGCCATGTAATGTAATGTGTACCTATACACATACGGAGAAACGATATATATGCATAACCTTATATAGTCAGGCCGCTCACGCGCTTTTTTACTTCGCGGCTGTCTATTATTGCTGCGTGTGTAAGTATGTGTGTAGTACATACAGCAGCCTCTCGCACACGCCGCCCCAGCAGCAGACAGACAAACACGTCCCTACCTATACCTATATAATGGCAATGAAAATCGAAAGGCCCAGATGATTGCAAAAAATCGTAGTCTTAATATTATTCTCAATAAGGCCTGCCGCCGCCGCTGCTCCGAAATCAGATCGTTGCTCGGCGCGTAACGGAGCGCATCATCACTGAAAGCCGGAATTGATTCATCGATTTACATTGTCTTTTTATAGATAGCGTGATAATAGCGTAACTAGCGGCTCGCGCGTGGATTGTGTTGTTGTTGTTGTTGTGTGTACACACAGTCTTTGGATAATTAAAGGGCTCACAGACATGGTTCGCGTTATCAGCCAAGAGACCTACGATCAGGTCGTGCAGGAGAACGTCCAGGATTTTGACATGACGATCGAGGAGGCCATCGAGGACGCGATCAAGCAATTCGATGCACAGGTGAATGACTCGATACTTATCATAGCTGCATTCGAGATGACGAGTTTTTTTTTCCTAAGAATTTATCGGTGTATTTTGATTTTGTTGTTGTTGTAGTTGCTCAACGCATTTACGCAATCGATTCATTCGTCTCTTAATCGCTATTGATTCATCTCTTAATCTTAAACTTGACACGTCAGATGTAGCGAGATTAATGCAATGAAATTTTTCGCAGGACGTGGATCTGTCCAATGTCATCAAAGATTTGGCTATTACCAACGTCACGTCGAATATCGATCGTTGCATCGGAACACTAAAAGAGTGTGTAAAAAATTCGGATTTCAAGGGAGCCCCTTCGTCGCTGAACGAGCTGAAAGATATACTGGATGCCGACATTGCTCAGAGAGTTTATGCTGGTAAAAATGGAGCGTACACTGTGCTTTTAGATGTGATAAATAGTTGTAAGGATGAGCCTGAGTTACTTATAATAGCTCTGAAGACCATGACTTCTTTAGTGAACGGCAACCCAGATTTGCTGGATCAGTCTGGGATCAAGCTTCAAAAAAGGTTTTTACTATTTTTGTTTTGGTTTTATATGCTAACGTACTCAGTCTTGAAACGATTAATTATGGTTTTTATTATTTTTACAGTTTATTAGATGATAATCAGAATGATGCACAGAAATTACAATTGATCTTGAAGTGGATCAAAGAATGTTGTATCAAGCATGAAATGAACAGACAAAATATTTTTAAAGCAGAAATTTTAGAAAATCTAAAATCTATTTTGACTCAACAGAATGTCAATGATTCTGTTGTCAAGGAGGCCTGCGCTGTTATGAGAGCCCTGACATTGGACGATGACATAAGGCTTGAATATGGAAAAGCTCACGAACATGCAGCTACTATTGCCACAGAGACATTGAAAATTCTCACTCAGTTGTTATCAAGTAAAATACTTTCTTCAAAAATAGTTTTTGTAGAAAAACAGTGAAAATTTACTAACATAATTATTTTAAAGCTTTCCAGTCTGATAAAGTTATAGTTGGAGAAATCATGTTGACAGCAGCTTCTTTGATAGTTAGGAATGAATTTTGTCAAGAGTTTGAGGATGCTGGGGGATTGCAATTCATTTTAGATGTATTCACTAATTATCCGGAAGAAGAAAAACTAAACTGGCAAGCACTAAAATTAATTAAAAGTTTAGCTGGTAATGATGATGTTAAAGCTCACATAGTTACATCGGGAATTGCTCCATTAATCATTTATGCCATCAGTAGATTAAAGGCATGTACCTTTATAATTTATTCAAATTCTAATTTCAATACTTAAGCATTATAATAAATATAAATTTTCATTTCAGAGTTCAGAATACATTGTTACAGCCGGTCTGGCTTGCATTTCAGCATTAACTTTGAAAAGTCCCTCCAACGCCGGAGTATTCTACGATTGTGGAGCTGTGACGATAATTATTGATGCCATCAAATCCCATCCAAAAAGTTCGGGAGTAATTCAACAAGCTTCATGGGCTATCAGAAATATGTCCGTAAGAAATAAAAATGAATCACGAGAATTCGTTGCATATGGCATCGAGGAATTACTCCAAAATGCCCTCAAAACACATGTACATTTAGAATCAGATATTAAGGCTGCATTGAGAGATTTGGGTTTGAAAGTTGAATTTAAAGAACGTTGGACAGGAAAAGGTAAACCAGTAACCAATGATTAACGAAAAATTGTGTTTCTTCACTAATGAAAAGATATGTTTTCGAAANAGAAAAAAAAAAAAAAAAAAAAAAAAAAACCGCCACCATTGCAAAAATAATGATACTACACATTCGCAACGTGCTCCCATTCAAAGCGCCGAGAAAAAAACTTACCTGATCCATGTCTGTAGTAGATTTTCCAAAAAGGATACACGATCGATAGAAATTACGGAGTTTGTCCCTTTTCTCTTCTATACGGAAAAACGTACAAAAGTGTCCGAAAGATCTCTTCGACTTTTTTTTTCGATAATATTACAATATATAGCGCCGGCGGTGACTATTTGGAAAGCTCGAGAAACAACGACGCCCTGAAGTTTCTAGCGAGGTTGGAGCGACTTTTGTTAATAGTGGTTCAGTTAGCGACTTCTGAAATACTGCCTTCTGCCTCGCACATAGCGCGCGCACAGAGCCGGAGCCCACAAAGTTCGCAGCGCGATACCCGAGGAGCAGGGAGGCATGACGTCACTCAGCGAACTTTCGAGAAGCAGAAGCCGAGAGAAGCCCGAGGAACTTTTATTATCCCCGATATATTATACATCAACGTCTGCTTCGAATTGAGCGAATTTATTGTTTTTGAATCTGCAATGACACGAGGATTTTAACGATGTTTGATTTGTTCGAAGATGAATGCTACTTGCTGATGTCGTTTATTTCACTCGTCGCGTTTCAAATGATACTTTTCGGTTATTTTGTAATAACGATGTTTCATTAAAATTAGTTGGGAAAAATTTGAGTACCGTTCATTTTCCGGTTCAATTATCCGACCATAATCAATTTCAATGAAAATAATTTTGTAAAAAATCGATACTCGGAAAATTCAATTTTAAACTTTCGGAGCGCAAATTTTCGCGCCGCCATTTACACACGCCGGCGGAGTCGAAGATTTTGCAACTCACTTCAGCTCGTTTATCCACATAATAATAACGATAACCCGATATGCTTACAGGGGGGGCGTCTTCTGCTGCTGCTGCTACATACATCGACTGACATAAACAATGCGGCATGGCCAGTGTCATGTGATGTTCCCGTAGTGCACACGGCGGTAACTTTTGTACTGTATAGCACACTCGAGTCATGGTGTTTCCTCTGATCTGCGTACTCGTCTATCCCGTCGTCGTTTTTGCCCTGATCAGAGCCGCCTACTTGGTCGTCTTCGAGCACGGCAAGGGCTTGGGGAGGAGAGTCGCGCCGCGTCATGCGCCCGCGAAAACTCTGATAGTTCTGGGCTCGGGCGGCCACACCAGCGAGATACTGCGCGTTCTCCGGCATCTGGACAGGGCCAATTACGCGCCGAGAGTCTACGTGCAGGCCCAGACGGATCGCGTGAGCCGTCAGAAGGTCGAGGAGTTCGAGGGTGACTCCGAGGATTACAGGCTGCACGCGATACCGAGGAGTCGACGGGTCGGCCAGTCCTACTTGACGTCGATCTTTACGACGGCGCGCGCCACTCTGCACGCGTTCCCGCTGATTTTCCGCGAGAAGCCCGACCTGTTGCTGTGCAACGGACCGGGAACCTGTGTGCCGCTCTGTCTGGTGGCTCTGTTCTTCAACGCCTTGCTGTTCAGAGAGACGAAGATCGTGTTCGTCGAGAGCTTCTGCCGAGTCGAGCGTTTCTCGCTGTCGGGCAGAATTTTGTACTACCTGGCCAATCACACGATAGTCCAATGGCCAAAACTCAATGGTTCTAGGTATCCTAGAAGCATTTTCGTTTAGTTCCTCGATTGACGGCTAAACTTTTGTACGTTCAAAATGACAGAGAGCATTGTGTACGGTTCGATTCGTTGGGACCTCTTCTCAGAGGATTTACAAGAATACTGTCCGAATGAAATAAAATACCATTTGCAAGCGATGATATCAGCCACAAAAGATTATTACTCCAATAGGTATACAATTATATAATTTTATGATGCACGTTTTACAGAAAAACAATTGTTTGATATCAATGGAAAAAAAAATGTTTTCAGGAGTAGCAAAAATAAGCAAACATCAACATCTGATTGGCAGTGGCTAGATAAACATTTATTGGTCAGTGATGCTTGCTTAGAACGAACTTGGGAGATGCTCAATTCTGGTTATTGGAAAGACGTACCGATTAATTATAGATATTGTTATTCACTGTGTAGCGTTATTAAGGTAATGGTTTTGAAAGTTTTTCTATTCGAGTAAAATTAAAAAAAAATATATTTATTAGGCAGTTTTATTGGAAATCTCATGTGATTCGGAGAGTGAAAAAACTAAAATTAAGGACAAATTCAAAGATATCATTAAAGTTATTGATAAAGGACTTCTCCTTGGCGCACCCTTGCAAAGAGATCCTTCTTTGTTAACGCAAATAGCATTTAAGCTAAATGAAAATTATTTAAGTAAGTACTTTCTCAAACATGATAACTGTTTATACAGCTAATTGGCACAATTTGTAGAACTAGATGGGGAGGAACAATTGAGTGAGAGTATTCAATTTAACGAGGAAGAATTGTGCATGGACATTTTTGATAACTTTTTACCAGTTCAGCATTACTTTAAGCCATCAATGGAATTGTTCTACAATAATATTTTTCAACCTAAAGTGCCTGCTATTCTTAAGGGTAATGATTTCATCCTTTTTTTTCTTTGCATTGAAATTTCATGTGATTAATTTTATAGGTTGTATAGAACATTGGAAAGCATTGACATTATGGAAAGATGTTGGATATCTCCAGAGAATAGCTGGTAATAGAACTGTGCCCATTGAAATTGGATCTCGTTATACTGATGATGATTGGACTCAGAGTCTCATTACGTTTGCAGATTTTTTAAAAACTCATATAACAAACAGAAATAATGAAATTGGCTATTTAGCTCAACATCAGCTTTTCAATCAAGTACTTTTAATTTTTTGACACTTTGTACTTAAGGTTACAAATAAATATATTTATACAGTATTTTTTTCTTCCTCAAGATTCCAGAGCTGAAAAATGATTTTTCAATACCAGATTATTGCAGTTTTTCAGATAAAGAGGATAGTGAAGAATTTCCTGATATAAATGCCTGGTTTGGTCCTTCTGGAACAGTGTCTCCTTTACATTATGATCCAAAAAATAATTTACTTTGTCAGGTATTTATAGACATTTTCCATTACAAATAGATAAGAAATAATCATCATTTTTTGTTGCAAATAGGTATTTGGCTACAAAAGAATCATTCTATATGGGCCAGGAGATAGTGACAACTTATATCCATACGAGACAAAAATGTTGTGCAACACTGCCAAAGTTGATCCTTACAATCCTAATTATAAAGATTATCCAAGATTCCAAGATTCCAAAGGAAGCATGTGCTACTTAAAACCTGGAGATATGTTATTTATACCTCCTAAATGGTGGCATCATGTAGTGGGACTTACTTCTAGTTTTTCAATTAGTTTTTGGTGGGAATAATAAAATTCTTAATAAATTTAACTTTACTTGAAAAATGCAGTATTTATTCAAGTCTAGGTATTACAAATTCTCATGCTAGATATTAGATTATAATTAATACTAGATGTAAATATTTTTTTATAGTTCAACATAGAAAACAGGTAAAAAAAAACAATCTTGAACCAACAACTATTGATTAAGAGTAGAGTATCATCTTAATGTTATACTTAAAAGACGAAGCCATTACATTTGAAACCAATCTTTTTCATGACACTGGAAAAAATTGAATTATTATTACAATAACAAGTGTATTATTTTTATTTTATTTTTTATTAGTACTAACAATTTATTAACCATTATTTTAATCAAAATTTCTGTTTGAAAATCATAATGAATAAGAACATTTCAACTTAATTTACCTGCAAAAGAAATTTCCGAAGGAATTGATATATTTGCCACATTGTTGGAATTGATATCATCCGATCGTTCTTCACTATTCAACACATCATATTGCAGCATATCTGTATAGTTGAATAATCAATTAAAGGGAACATTTTATGTATTCAAATCTCTTACAAATAATTCTTTCAAATTATTTACTTTTTAAATAATTTTACATTCATATAACACAATGGTAAATATTAATGATGCATATGACCAGAATCAAAAATAAAAACATACGTAGTCTATGTCTTCGAAGCAACAGATCATCTGCTTCTCTGAAAATCTGATTGATTGATAATCCTGATAATGAATCATTATTTTTTTCACGAATTTTCGCAATAACTTCAATCAAATCAACTCTGCAAAATACATGTTATTTAGTCTCCAATTAATTTCGGAAATGTAGTAGTTATTATTACTTACTTTGGGATATCTGAGTATTTTTTCCTCATTATTAAGATTAGTTTTTCCAATCCTACTTTTCTTTTAACGGTTGTCAGTGAACTGACGGCTGACCTGATTAAAAAGAAAATAATTTGAAGATCTTTTTGTTTAGATTCAGTATACTATTCAATTTCATTTTCTCCATTTACCTGAATGTATTGTTAGTTGTATCTGATCTATCGTCTCTGATTGTTTCAATTTGCGTTTTGATAGAATTATTATTAAGCTCATATTTTCCGAGGTACGTCATTGATTTTGTGCTTTTTAATTCTGTCACTGTATCCTTACTCATTTGCGTATTGATCACGTCCGTAACTAATTGACTTTCATTTAATTCGTTTATTGATTCATTCATTGATTTGCTTTCTGTTTGAACTTTTACTGATTCAATATTTAATTGCTCAAGACTTTTCACTAGATCAGAACCTGATTCAGTGTTCACTGATTCATTGTTTACTAGTTTAGTGACTGATTCAGTGTTCACAGGTTCATTAACTAATTCAGTGTTCACTATTTCAGTAATTGATTTAGTGTCAACCGATTTATGAGCTGACTCAGTGTTCAATTGTTCAGAAGCTGATTTATTTGAAACTGATTCAGTTATAAAAGAATCTTTCAGTGACGTAGAATCTGATAGATTAACTACTGATGTATTTGCTATATTAACAGAATGATTTATTTCAGAATCATCAATGACGTTAGTTGCTTTGTCTGTTAATGTTTCATAGTTTGTAATTGAATTCCAATTTGATTCTGCCAAAGGCTTAGGAGAATGTCTCTGATAAGTCACATCAATTATATCAACAGATGTTTGAGATTGCTCTGGAACTGCAAAGCACAGTATTAGATTAAATAATCAAAACCAAATCTACAATCAAAGAAACTTTAAAAACAAACCTTGCTGGTAATTAGATATTTCTTGTTGTCTCTGAGGATATTGCATAGCAGGACGAATAAACGGTTGTCGATACCAATAATTTTGATAAGGTATGGGGTAAGGAATTTGCGGTTGATAAGCCGATACTAAATTTTGTACAATTAAACATTGATGGGAATAAAATCTATCAAGAGCTCCAAGTACAAAATTTGCAATATGCTCTGGAGGTGATACAGGTAATAATGGAAATATGATTTCTGTAAAATTATTCACATTTTCTTCGGATGCTGCTGCTAACTCTGTTTTGATAGTAGAGTACCTTTTCTGTAATGTTACAAATGACAAATAAAATATTTGTTCAAGGACATTAATGATTAAGCGAGGAAAAAATATTTTAAAAATTAAATTTTTCATGTTACATAGATTGATAAAGTCTTTCTGAGACGAAGAAATTATAAAATATTTGCCAAAAAATTATAAAAATTCTCTATTAATGGGAACAAAAAGCTATAAGATCTTGAAACTAATTCAATATTAGTTAAATAAAAAGTTTAGGAAAATGTATTTATCAGCAAAATAATAAAAACTTTATTAAATCTCAAGCAATTCACAGGATTGCTGAAAAAATAAAAATTCTTACCTTGTCGTTGTTAAGAGTGTCATTTAATAGTTCAATTCTTTTGTTCCACATTGATATGCTGATGAAGTTAGTGATTCGCATTTTCTGCTTCATCCAATTGTTTATTTTACTAATAATAGCTGTTGCATCGTAGCTTTGTTGAATTATACTAAAAGTAAAATAAAAAATGTAAAAAATATGTTCAAAACTTATTAATAGATATATTCAAAAATAAAATGTATTTACCCATAAACCAAATTTTTCCTTTCTGCAAATCTGCTGTCAATGTATTTAGAAACGAGACTTTTATGTGTTTCCTTCAATGTCTTATGAGAGTTTCTGAAAGATAAAGTGTAAATTTCAAGATTAAAAAATGTTATTTTCTCATTTTTGTAATTAAAATAAGTAGTATGATACTTGCTCTAAAGCAGAATATTTTTGGTTCCATTCATTATTTAAAGAATCTCGAATAATTTTCAATTCTTCTTGAAAATTAGCGAGAATTTCTTTTCTTTTGTTTTCATCAATTTTACTAGGATATTGATCCTGACATAAATCATTTAATTTTGATTTTTTGACTTCCAATGTCATTTGAAGAAGTTCTTGCTTGAGTCGCAAGTTTTCCTGGTTGATTTGATCATATTTTTTTTTCAAATTTGTTGATGCAGATATGACTTTAGAAAGACTTTCTATCTTATCCCACAAATCTTGCCGCTCTGTTTCAAAGTGCTCAATTTGCGCAGCTTGTTGACGTACCATCTGACCCAAATGTGCATTTGTTTCAATTTGCTCCTGCAGTTCCACTTCCATACTTTTGGAATGATTTATTATTTTTTCCAAGTAATCTTTATCACTGGCTTTAAACTCATCAGAATCAGGAAAATTAAAAGTTTCGACACACGAATTTTTTGTTTTATCCTTTGGTGATTTGATCGATGTTTGATTAGATTGAACAATATGGTTTTCATCATCTAATAAATCGTAATAAGCATTGGCTGAACTTCTTTCTGCAGAAAACAACAGAAATTTAAAACAAATTATATTAATTATTAATTTTGTATGAATAAGTAGAATTAAGAATATTTATTATATATTATTGTAAACCTTTATGACGCTCATTGTGTGCTGCAAGCGTACTCATTATGCTCTCAATTGTCTCATTCACTGTTGCATCACTTGAAGTTATATCCAAAGGAGTCTCTTCAAATGCCTCAGTTGATAGTAAAAAATCTCTTATATCTATTAATTAACAGGAGTATTTATAAAAATTTTTGGTCAAAAACATTTTTGTTTTAAACATTATTATATATACCTTCTGTTGGTTTTTTTAAAAAATTATCTTGTATTTTCATATACTCATCATATACTTCTACCCAAGTAGTTCCAACATTCTTCGATATCATTTCATGGAAAAAACTACAATTAATGATAAAAAAGTGCATTAATTAGTAATATATCATTTTAAAAAAACAAGAAAATTATTTTTATAAACTTACGAAAATAAGAATTCGGTTTCGCGATTCGTAACTTTGAGCTTTGGCTCTACTCCTTCTTTCACCACAACTACTCTATTCATTCTGTCAGAATGTCGGTTGTTGATTCTAAATGGATTATAATCCTAAAAAAAATCTTGGATGAAAATTGTGCTATTCAATAACGATAAACAAAAGATGATGTAACATACTTGAACCCCAAATTTTTCAACTTCCTGTTTAAACAAATCGTCACTTTTTCGACCTGCAGAGTTTTTTAGAGTGTTTAATCCCGTGAAGTCCTTCAAGTAATTTTATTTATAAATTATGAATTATTTTATATTAAGATGGAATTAAGAAAAAAAAGATTTTCATTACTTTTTTAATGGCCCCTTTCGATACATCAAGAACAGAGTGATCCTTTGCTTCATGATTCTTGGAAAGCTTTTCTGCAATTTTTTTTGATGTGTTTGAACGTGGATATTTTAATTCAAATACTATATCTCCTTTTGCATTCATAACGCCTATAGAGTTGATCACTGATGGTTTTGGATCACTTTGACAATTTATATTCAGGCAAGGCACATTGTGATTATCTATTATCATCTATACAGTGAAGAATTATTTAGTATACATAAATTAATCATCTAATTTGCCTTTAATAAATTTACCTCATCTGTTTGATGATACAAGCAATGCTTTTCCTTTTCTAAAAACCAACAAGGTTTATGAAAATAGAGAGAACATGGTGGATCATGAGAGCATTGTACTTGTATTATGTCGCTAAATGCTGGATCTCTATGAAATAATAGAACAAATCATTATTTCAAATAAATTATGTAAATTTAATTTGCAGGATAATGTTACTTACTTGAAGTAGATTTGTTTACTTGGTGTGGTATATGGCTTAGTTATGTTATTACATTTTGAATGAACACACACATAATCTGGCATTTGAAAATTTGAACATTTTTCTTTTATGTAGTCCCAAATTTTCTGCAAAGTATACAATTTCAACATCATCAGTGTAATATTTGCTTTACATTTAAATACTTGTTGATAATTATAAAACTTACATTATCGCGACCATTATCTTTCAGAACTATTTTTGTTTCAGGTAAATAAAAAATATTTAATTCATCTAATTTCTTAAGGAAGCTTAGTCCCTCATTCAAGTAGTAAAGAGCATAATCATGTCTGAAAATGATATATGAGTGTGAGTGATCGTAAACTATTATTATTTAATATTATTACTTGCAGTAATATGTTACCTGCACAGTTTGCAATGTAGTTCAGCTAGGACCGCATACACGGCTGGAAATTTTTGAACAAAATCTATATCTATAGATTCGAGAGTCTGTACTGCTTCAGTAAAGTCATCCAGCGTCACTGCAAATTGATTGAGACAGAAGCCAAGGAGATAATTGATCAAGTTATCTGTTGTTCGATCAACATTTAAAATGTTAGCTAATCCCTTAGCTTTTTTATAATACGTATATGGAACAGTCCATTTTGTCTCTGTACCGTCCAAGCATCTCATGTATTCACTCGCAGCTACTTTTAGCACCGATGTCAATTCCTATTGAAATTCAGAACCAATGTGATTACAACCATTCAAATTTTGTATCAAGTTCGATGTCACACTCACGGTATTATCGCCATAGCTTCCATGCCCGCTGAACTGACTCAGATAATCGTCGCCGCAAGAAATATACGGCGAATAAGATGAATGAACCATCTTGGAATCTGTACCCGATCGATTTACACCTACGTTAAATGAGTAGTTGATATCAGCGTAATTTAATATTATGCATAGGTCAAAACATTCAGTCTATATGAATCGTACAAGCTAAAGTACACTGTGTGGTCGCTCGCTATCAACAAACGCGAAAGCTAATTCGTGTGACCTTTGTGCGTTACACCGGCGCGGGCTGCAGTCGGTCGTCGGTTACAACGGCGATTTCAAGACAAAAATGATCAGATTCGAAGATAGCGAATACAAATAACTATGCTTGAGCCCCGAAAAAACAATGAAAACTTCAAAAACAGTCGAAAATTCGATGCCGAATGAAGAGAACGTGAGAAGATTGCGACAAACGACTAACAACCGCTCGAGCTCGTTCGACCGAAAAGTTGATATCAAAGACACCGAGTATTTTTTTAATAAAATAGTAGATCACTTACGTAGTGCTGAATGCACCGATCCCCTCGATCTTATACGAGAAATGTTGCCGATATTCGTCAACCGAGCGTCACCAAAAAAAAATCCGTCGATGATTGCACAAATTCACACGGTCAAATCACGTCCAATAATGTGGATAGAATCGAGAGCGAGACAATGACGATCCGCGCACCAGTCAGGACTGAACCACACTCGAGCACAACGCAAGTCGCAACGCAGAAGCAGCAGCAGCAGCAGCAGCAGCAACGGTCCTGTGCGTTTATTATCACCGCCGCGCGAGGAGAGCTGCTGTATTACAGTCGACGGCAAGCCAGTCTTTGAATTTCCTCTTTTGCGCGAGCTGCGTACGAATATTGGGCGGCAAATGTATAACACTGTATCCGATTACAGGCGGTGTGTAGGGTAGCACACGCGGGCGTCCAATCAGCGGCGTGTTCAGGCAGGAATTTTTCAGAAATCGCAGCAGAAATTTGCGCTCGCAGTTCGCGCAGCGGTGCCGCTGCTGCGTGTAACGGACGTCTTTGCCGGCGTGAAAACTGCTCATAACAAAGATAGCTATGCGTTGTAAATGATACGCGGGCACGCGGACTTTTAAAATTTCTTTCTTTCTCTGTCTCGCTCTGTTTGCCAACAACACACTGGCGGCGCGGCTCGGTATATGACGCGCATCGTGCAGTGTAACATTGAAATTTGAACTTTATCATAATATAAGGGACATCATTGATTCGATTAGAATTGTAATTAGTGAAAGAAATTGTAATTTTATTTCGACATCGATCGATCGTGGCGAAGGTGGATAAAGTATTCGTGGCGGTATTTTGTTATGTCAACGAGAGACAACGAGACGAGCGCGCGCGATCTCGTGTTTCTGGACGTTGCGAGAATGCGTCCGAGCGACGATAAGGATTTAGCTGGCGTGTATACAGCTGCATTTGTAACATAATGACTCGAGGTAAGTTATATTAAAACCTATCGTCGTTGAAACAGAACAATCATCGTTGAAATTTTAGCGATGCTCCCGATGAAGTATACCCGTTGAGATTCACTTTTCACGCTTACGCGGCGAAACGAGCTCACATAATACAAAGTGCGACGAGATAACTTTTACAGGCGCCTAATTATTATTATTATTTTCATTAGAACGTATCCGTGAGTTTTATCGTGTCGCAGACGTACAAAAAATCGTGCGACTTTCAATGCATACCCGATACTTTTGAAAAATACACATGCATAACAAATGTAAAATTTTTTAAAATGTACCATAGTTTAGTAAATTGTCTGCTCGTTCTATTGTATATGTTGATCTTGTCGAAATTGATTTCAATTGTTATTTTAAGATCGAGCACTTCTAAAATAAAAAACGAAAAGTTTTTAGGCACTCTTATAACTAGCTTGAAAATCAATAGAAATTTTCATGCGTGTTAGGCAAAAGTAAATTTGAAGATAAAATTATATGCTAAAACATTTTTATTGTGTTAATGACAATAAAAAAATTGCTGTGCTGTTTTCAATATTCAGCTAGTCAGCAAGTGTGGAGTTTCGGGGTAGTTTTTTTTTATAAACGGCTCGAAACTCTTGTTTCAGCGGATATTATCAATTGGTAATTGTGATTTGTTGTTATCTTACATGCATCGTCTATGTAGTACTGCTGTATAGACCGTAACAGACATGATTCTTCTTGAAAGTTATCCTCTAATACTGAACGTTAGGCTAGGGGCGCGCTAGCTCTGTTGCTTCACGTATGTATCTTTATTCGCGTGAACGGCGTGTCTTATAAAAGCTCCGAGCATAAAGAATAGCCTCTTGCGATAGGTGAGCATACTATTATACCCTTTGTTTGCGTTGATTGAGAGTAGCGATTGAGCTCACATTTTTGAAGTTGAATGAATTTTCAAATTTCTCATTTATAATTATGCGGGGGTTTTATGTGGTCGAGGGATCGATATTGCTTTATAAACTAATGACAAGCTGAAAAAATGATAGAAATTGATACTCTAAATCGTGCCAATTACCTTGTGATCGCTTAAGACGTAGTTTTATTTGCATAAAATTAAGGTTCAGATTGATACCTTCAAAATGAATGCTCTACCAATGTAAATATTGTTTATTGGCCAATCTATGGACGTGAAAGTCCGAGCCCTGCGCTCCGACCTTATGCAATATCGTCTTTTTTACTATTTTGATTATATCTCCGGTTCTATAAGTCGTGTCAAGACGAATGAAAAAAGGAAATTTTTAAACGTTTGTGTAAAATAAAATGAATCAAAATTGTTTTATTACATATTTAATAGACGAGAATAAATTTTTAAATGTTAAAATCGGTTTATTGAGACAAAAAAATTATGGACAATATTGTATTTATTGAAAAGTAGCTGAGATTGCTATTTTTAAGGTTTTAAAAAATAATTATTAAATATTAATTCGTTTGATATGCATCAGACGAAAAAAGGACAAGTTACTTATTGTTAAGAATCAATCAAGGAAACTAAATATGTGGTTCTTCACTAAGAAAGCTCTGCAATTTTTTTTAAATCAATTTATCATGTATATAAATAATCTTTTGGATACCAAGTCCCTGTCGAGGAACCTGTTAGACTTCTAGTCAGTATTCTGTAAAATTTAAGCAATGATGAATTCCAGGAATCCTGTCTGTGAGGGTAAACATATTCTTTTGTATGTTCGCATAAACGCAGTAATTCCTCGTAACTCATTTTTTCAGCTACTGTTCGGCAAACGGTATAAGGTAAATTTAATTTGCAATAATCAGTCATAAAAAGATCGGCTACGAACAATTCCAACTGTAACCTTATTAAAATGTTTGCAATGTGCCTTTTTACAACCATGTTCAACCACGTACACGAAATAACATCCATTGACGGAACGCACCAATTCTTGATATTTTTTATTATCGAGTAACCGTCGGTGTAGCTCATTTGGCACAATTGATACAGCGAAACGTCATCTTTTATCATAATGTCTTTGATTTTCGAAACGTCTTTCCACATACAAGCAGTATTTTCTACACTTCTAGGCTTACACTGCATCCTTGAGCATGTCGAGAGCAATCTCTGGGAATGACATTGCAAAAAATCCTTCGTTTCTTGTTTCATATAAAAGCCAATATGACTAAGACTGAATAAGCTGTCCATAATAGTGCAACCGGTAAAAAAGTCTCGATTGTTGCCTGAAAAAATAATTTAATCACGTTTAAATAAAAATCATCGTATTGAGAAAATGAAATGACTTACCAAGAGTCACATCACCAATCAAATGGTCTGTGTCGTTGCCCCGAACTCTCATCCAACATTTAATCATCTTGAGTCTTGTGTGTACGTTTATTTCGTAGCCTACTGACTTCAATAAATGCATCATCTCGATGATGTTCAGAGTGAGAGGATAGTTTTTCAACTCGAGCGAGGTGAAGTCGGCGCTGAACATCTTGTCCTCGTCCAGATTATCCAGACTCGCGCCATGATCCAAAAGTGCCTTGGTGAGATTAACATCGAAACGCGACGCCGCCGCCTGCAAAGGCGTCTCGCCGTGACAATTCCGAGCTTCGATATTCGCTCCATGTTCAACGAGTATTTGAACTATTTCATCAACTGGTTTTCTCTTGTCGCAGAAGAGGTAGTGATTGGTGCACCGGCATAGGCACAGCCTCGCGAGGGCGTGAAGAGGTGTCGATTTTTCCACGTCCTGTTGGTTTGGATCGGCCCCATGCCTCAACAAAATCTCTATCACGNTTGTTTGGATTGTTGAAAAGTACCTTCATGAATTTTTTCAGATTTTTTAATAGCTTCAGGCCTTCAGAAAAAATATAGATAGAAAATGGACGTCTATAGGGGAGGAGGGGGGTAGGAGGGGGGAGGGGGTCCAAAATTTTGGTTTTGGCACTTTTTTATCATGTACTATAACATACCAAAATTTCAGGAAAATCCGTGAACCTCGCCCGCAGGTTTATTTGAAAAATTCTGAATCTGACCCATATATTTTTATTAATTTTCATAATTATTTTATTATAACATATTAATAAATATTTTACATTTTTTCATGATTTTTTTTACAATTGATATATTTGTTATTATTTTTATACCTATTATTCAATACTAAGATTTTTGTTTATTTCAATTGTTTCAATTTCACATATTAATTAAGTCATTTCTATGATAATTTCGAATGTAGCTATTTCATTGCTCATTTTAATTATGAAAATGTCCTCATCAAACGAATACTAATGAAAATATCAATGAATTTTTCATTTGAACCATCCTCCCTTTTTATGGATCTTGTTGAAAGTTGCACTTCCAGTAAATTTATGGATTTGCAATTGAAAAATTAAACATTTTTCGCTTCGCTATAAATCAATTTTTGACTTTTTCTCTACTCTCGCGAGACGCTGCAGACCATCATGAGCAAAATTAGAAAAAAAATCTCCAACGGTAAATAGCTGCTGTGCTCACCGCTGCGATGGTCGTTACTAAATCGCGTGCGTTCGCGTCGACGATATCTGTCTCACCGACTTTTAACGCACACCCGATACTTTTCAAAGATGCACATACATATATAGAGAGATGAGTAGCCGCAGCAGCAGCAGCACTTTGGTAGCTTTTATAAATAACGCATCCATCGGCCTGCAGCAGCGACCGCAGCCGCCTGCTCTCCGCTCGGCGGCGAGCTCGATATTGAAGCCACTGCGCGCGTGTGTCAGAGCTTGCGAGCTTCTCTCGAGAAAACTCGTTGCAAAATATGCTGCCGCTGCCACTGCTGTCCGTCGACGTTGTCGCGCTTTGATCTTTCTTTCTTTGCTCTCCTCTCTTTCTCTCGTGCGCGTTCTTTGTGTGTATGTGACTCGCGTGTGTGCGCGTGTGCATCGACTTCTTCTTCTTCTGCTGCTGCTGCTGCTGCTGTTGCTGTTACAGACACCCTGACAGACATGATCACCAAAAACATCGACGATCCTGAAAGTTATCCTCCGATACCGAAATTATATCAGGTAGACAACACACACACGCAAGTAAAAGAGCATCGATGTTGTAAGAGCCGAACAAGGGAGATGAGGTTTATTGTGGTCAAGGTGCGCGCTATAGGTGTTGCTTATTCGATGCGCGCGAACGACGATGTGCTTCAGAAAAGCTCCGGGAGCGAATTCGACGCACTATTCCTACGAACGTAATTGAGCGTTAACTTCTTTGTCCGCGCTCGATCGAAAGCAGCGATCGAGCTTTTTGTAATTAGTTATACGAAAAGACACTCGCAGATCCCATGCCCTGCGCGCGGGCCGCGTTTAATTATAGATCGGCACCTGTTACAACGCGCGCTAGATATAATACGCCGCTCTCGAAGCTGTCAAAAATTTCAGAGACAGAGCGTGACCGAAAGACGTCGTGTTTTTTCAATTATTTGTTTATTTTTATCATCGGAAAATTCTCCAAAAAAACTCGATTCGCGCAGCTCGAGAGCGTCCTTTATTATTTATTACTGCATCGTGGAAAATACACAAATGTCTAATGAGCGTGGAAAAAAGCCAGACGCGTCGGGGTTTAAAAATAATATTTTGCACGGCGTGTCTTCTTGCTCTCACTCTCGCTTTGTCCACGTCGGATTTTGTGCTTCTAAAAGCAATTGGCAATCGCCGTATAATAATAATATCGCGTCGTCCGTATACGCTTCGACGCACTTGCCTCTCTCGTTAATGATAATCTATATACGCGTCGCGCACCCGGGTCAATAGCTTTCGAGCGCGATCGGTTTCCGAATTTTTCTAACGATCGATGCTGCTATGGTAAAAATGAAGATAATACTCGTTTGGTTTTATCGGTTCGTGGTGTTTTTACATTATGTTTACGAATCGGACTTTTGTTTCGCGTGCAGTTGTCTAGATGGATTTATTTTGACTGCAAAAATCGCATACATCGCGCGCGTCATCGACATACTTTATCGAAGATCTAACGCAAATCGTTAATTAATATCGATCGCGAGACCCTGTCCTGTATCACACGCGAAAACACACCCACGTAAATAGCACCAAGATCGTACAAAGCATCTTTTGGCATCGAGCCCGGCTTTATGCGTTATACTCTTGAGACGCGGAGGCGTGTACAGTAAAGATGGTAATGCGCGTGAACCGTGTGTGCGTACAACGTTTCGCGTGCACACGCGCGCGAACGACGATGAGCGATCTCGAATTAATTACACTTGAACTTGGTGTTTTGGCTTTTGACGTCGCCGCGTCTGGCCGCAAACGAAAATAGTTGCGCTCGACGTCGTTGTCACTGTTGTTTTTCCTCTCTGTAATTGATTCGTGTACACGTTTTTTTATATAGAATGATAAGACGACGGCGTTTCTGCGCGCCGCTCGATCGGGCAATTTGGAGAAGGTCGTGGAGTATCTGGACCAGCAGCAGCTCGACATCAACGCGTCCAACTCGAACGGGCTGAATGCGCTGCATCTGGCCTCGAAGGACGGCCACTTGGAGATCGTCGCGGAGCTGCTGAAACGCGGCGCCAAGGTCGACGCCGCGACCAAGAAGGGCAACACTGCCCTGCACATAGCATCCCTCGGTACATCATTCATTTTAATTATGCTTCCTGCTAGAAATGCTAAACATTTGTATGGCTATGTTTGTGCAAAGGAAAAACTAGTTGGGCGCGAAAGAGAAGTTCGAAAATATTTACTTAATATTTATTTTTAAAAACAAAGCGGGGCATGGTCGTGCTACTCGTCTCAAACCCATAATTTGATTTATACAATTATTTTGACATTGCCACTTGCAGATTTACGTATAAATGGGTACTCGCCATCTGGCGGTGGAAGCTTGAAGTATTATTATCGTATTTAAAGTGGTTACAAACTGGTCGAAATTGTATGAAACAGATAAATCGTCATTTTCAGGTCATTTAATCCACTCAATAACATTGTAACAAAAAATCTCCAACAAAAAGTCAATAATATACTATGTATTTTAAAACCCCATCAACTTTATTTTATCGGTCATTAAGTCGTTATTATTGTTGAGCATTTCTATCAGGACTATTATACCTCAAATGAAGGTAATTGGCATAACAACGATTCGATTGTTTTTTCAGCTGGCCAAACGGAAGTAGTGACAAATTTACTGAATTATGGAGCATCGATCAATTTACAATCTCAGGAAGGATTCACGCCTCTCTACATGGCGGCACAAGAAAATCACGAACAGATCGTCAAGATACTGCTCAACAACGGAGCCGATATAAATATCGCCGCGGAGGTACGAGTCAGTGAAATAGGCCTTAAACGTACATTTTTTACACTTTATAAATATTTTCCAAATAAAAACTGAAACGCATTTCGTGTTCGCCGACAAACAGGACGAATTCACGCCCGTGTACGTGGCGATGCAGCAGGGCCACGACAAGGTGGTGAGCATCTTGCTGGAGAGCGAATCCAAGGGAAAGACGAGACTGCCGGCGCTGCACGTCGCGGCGAAAAAAAACGACTGCAAGTCAGCCGATCTGCTTCTGCGGGTACATATGAGATTTCGCTGAGTCGAATTATATATACGTTCTGGGAATTCGGAAGTTTTCAAGCTTCATCGTGTTATGATTTTTTGTAATTTTAGAAAAGTCACAGTCCAGACATAGCGACGAGGAGTGGCTTCACGCCGCTGCACATAGCCGCGCACTACGGCAACGAGGATATCGCGCGACTTCTCATCAAACGAGGCGCCGACGTCAATTACCTGGCCAAGGTATACAAAAAAAATAAATAAATCAATTTTTGTTTCGCCGTTCAAACGATCGAATTTTTTCGTTCGTCTTGTTTTTCTTTTCAGCACAACATAAGTCCGCTGCACGTGGCGGCGAAATGGGGCCAGAACGACCTGATAAAATTGCTGCTCGAGAGCAACGCGGCGATCGACGAGAAGACGCAGGACGGCCTGACGCCGCTTCATTGCGCCGCTCGATCGGGCCATCATCGATGCGTCACCAGTCTCCTCGAGGCCTCGGCTCCGATCAGTGCCAAAACGAAGGTACCATACGGATAACGGTTGTAACAAAAAATCAATGCGAAAATAAATGTACTCCGATACATCGACAGAACGGACTTGCGCCGCTGCACATGGCTACGCAAGGCGACCACGTGGATTCGGTTCAAGCTCTGCTGAATCTTCGAGCGCCCATCGACGAGGTGACGGTGGACTATCTGACGTCGCTGCACGTCGCGGCGCACTGCGGCCACGTGCGGGTGGCCAAGCTGCTTCTGGACCGCAAGGCCGATCCCAACGCCCGGGCCCTCAATGGCTTCACTCCGCTGCACATCGCCTGCAAGAAGAATCGCATCGAAGTCGTGGAGTTGCTACTTAAACACGGTGCCTCGATCGAGTCGACCACCGAGGTACGTCGTAGAGAGGATCGATTTTTATAATAGTTGTATGGAACTTTTTGTGATGAATTTTGTATATCGATTTTTTTCTTTATAGACGGGATTGACTCCACTACACGTAGCGAGTTTTATGGGATGCGCGATGATCGTGGAGTACTTACTGCAGCACAAAGCGAATCCGGACGCGACTACGATACGTGGCGAGACTTCGTTGCATTTGGCAGCTCGGGCCAATCAGACGGACATCATAAGGATACTGCTGAGAAACGGAGCGAAGGTCGACGCTCGAGCGAGGGTGAGAACCGTAAAACTTGCTTTTTGAGAATAATTTGAGATTCAACTTTTTTTACGTCATTTCAGGAGCAACAAACGCCGCTGCACATAGCGTCGCGTCTCGGCAACGTCGAAATCGTCGCGCTGCTCCTGCAGCACGGCGCGGCGGTCGACGCCACCACCAAGGACATGTACACCGGCCTGCACATAGCCGCCAAAGAGGGCCAAGAAGAGGTAAAGAACAAAGAAGCGATTCTGCTGCTCGAAGAGGATCGCGTGAGATTGACCGAGCTCGTGCAGCAGGTCAATCAGATCAATTTTCGATTCCTCTACTGGAATCGCCGACGCGAGTACTACATTTGACGTTGACATCGTGATTAAATTGTATTGCACACGAATCGTTTGAACGAAATTTTTTCGAAATGTAACCGCACACTGCCCGCCGATTCGGAGGAAAGATGGCGACGATTAACGATTGTTGCGCTGTTTCAAATCGACTATGCGAAAAAAAACAGGATATCGATGATATTTAGTATAATATAATTTAGTACCGGCAAAGCATCTATTACACGATAGAGCTCGTTTTTTATGTTGATTAAAAGTAAAAAAAAAACGATTACATTTTTTGTATACGGACATGTTGGATGTGTTCTCTTCGCGCAACTCTCGAGTGTCTCTTGAGTTTCAGTCTCTGATTCATAATTTTTTTTTTTTAACTTCTCCACGTTGAAACTTTATGTGTGTCAGCATATAAATACATTCGCAAGTTTATGCACTACCCGAGGTTCTGCACTGATACTAATGTTAATTTCTGTACGATGTGCGACGACGATGAGAAATATCTATATATGTCTTGTTCATTGTTTTGTTTGTTTTATAATTTACTGTTTTATGTAATAAAGCTTTTATTTATATAAAAAAAACCGATGCATCTAGTTATTAATATTGTAAAATACAACAACAAAAGAATCATAGAAACTAAAAACTTCATTATTATCATGTACATACAGTAATTAAAATAACGAGTGGAAAAAACAATGGGGTCGAAGTCTACATCAGGTAAGCGTTTTTGGAGTTTTTGCTGCACGTGTAATTCATCATACATTTAATTTTTGTAAATTTTTATTTCACTTTGGATTTCGAAGCGAATTCTTATGCGTGTTTTTTTGAAAAATAATTGAAAAAAATTACGCACACAGATGGTCGCTCTGCTGATCGGTAAAAACGCGTCGGTCAATGTCACCACGAAATATGGCTTGACACCTCTTCACGTAGCAGCTAAATACGGCAACACGAACGTGGCTAAGATTCTCCTGCAAAATGACAGTGAATTGGATGCTCAAGGAAAGGTAAGAGTCGAAAAAATCGAGCAGATTTCGTACAATATATAACTTTTGATGAATCCGTAGAACGACATTACTCCACTGCTGTTGGCATGTCACTACGACCACCCGAACATGGCCCAGCTGTTGTTGGAAAAGGGAGCCTCGCCATTGCTGGCATCGCAAAATGGACAGACGGCTCTGCACATCGCGGCCCGAAAAAATCAGATGGACATCGCCTCGACCCTCCTGGAACACTCGGCCAAGGCCAACGTCGAGTCCAAGGCCGGATTCACGCCTCTGCACCTCAGCTCCCAAAAGGGCCACTACGACATGACGAATCTGCTGATCGAGCACGGCGCCGAGCCCAATCACAAGGCCAAGGTTGAAACTCGTTTTCCTTACTCCAACCGATTTGAACTGCAGGAAATTGAGATTTGTAATTGACTTTTAGAACGGCTTGACGGCCCTGCACCTGTGCGCCCAGGAGGACTTTATCAGGGTGGCGTCGATCCTCGTGAAAAATGGGGCCAACGTCGAGGCCGAGACCGAGACGGGCTACCGACCCATCCACGTCGCGGCCCACTTCGGCAATCTGTCCATGATCAAATTCCTCCTGAAACATGGCGCGGAGATCGACGTCAAGACCAAGCAAAATTATACGGCTCTGCATCAGGCCGCCCAACAGGGACACGCCCACATCGTTTCGGCTCTCGTCGAAGCCAACGCCAATCACAGAGCCCCTACTAATGTACGTTTCTGCGCGAAGATAAGCTATATTATCGTGAATAATCTTACAGCTTTGATTTCGTTAGGATGGCTTACTCGCATTAGATATAGCTAAAAAGTTTGGATACATGACAGTGCTCAGAACATTGAGCGGTTTATCATACGACGAAACACCCGTCCAGGGCAATGATAAAATCAGACAAAAGTACAAATCTGTAGTTCCCGAGACATTGAACATTTCCGATTTCTTATTAGATTTCGACATCAATGATGGAGGTTTGCCATATATTAAAAAACTTTAGTTTAAGTGATTGGTAGTATATTTTTCATGTTTTTCAGTTTTTGAATTTATGAAAAATGATCAGCCCTACCGATGTCTTACGGATTGGATGAAAAGTTTACCAGATGATTCATTGCCAATTGATGATGATATTTTAGTTCGAAAGAGTAAGTTTCTATTATTATTATTATCATTATTACACAAATGAAACTAAAAGAAATTATTTTTGGAACAGATCGATACCAGTTAAAAACAGTTCGTACTGACGATCTTGCTGACGTGAAAATTGATCATACCGATTTCTCGGAGTAAGTAAACTAAAAAAATCGAATGTATTTAGTAATCGTAATCAAGAGTATCATGTTTTATTTCTGGTCCATGTTTCAGTTTTTTCATTAGCTTTCTGGTAGATGCACGCGGTGGTACACTGATGGGCTGCCGTCACAGTGGGATTAGGCTGATAGTACCACCGAGACGCGCCTCGATGCCGATTCGCGTGACCTGCCGCCTCGTCCGACCCAACAAAATGGCCATACCACCACCCTTGATGGAGGGTGAGTCCTTGGCGACTCGAGTCATCGAAATGGGCCCAGTTGGGGCGTCGTTCCTTGGACCCGTCCTCATCGACATTCCTCACTTTGCCTCGGTGCGGGGCAGAGACCGAGAGATCATCATCCTTCGCAGCGAAAACGGCGATACGTGGAAGGAACACGACAGTTCGGCCGACAACGACGATTCCCTTCTCAACACTCCTTTTGGTATAATTTTCAAAGATCTCTATAGTAGAAATGCTCAGCATTAATTAGGGTCTGATAACTAAAAACTGGCCGTTTAAATCGTTTTAAAATACAATAACATTATTTGGCTTGTTTTTTTTTCAATTTTTTTGTTATAATTATGCTAAAAATATTCAGCGTATTTTTAAATTCCGGAAAATGACAATTAAACTGTGGCAAAAATATTGACCAGCTTTCAATCACTTTGAACCTGTACCGCTAGATGGCTATTACCCCTTCATTTGTAAATCTACAAGTGGCTCGCGCCAACAGCGTTATGGCAATGTATACCAACTATGATGCCAATAAAAACTTACTAAACTGAACTGATCTACAAGTGGCAATTAAAAAATATTTGTGTATTTAAGTCATGATTCTGAAAATTTCTTTATAAACTTTGGTGTATTCTTTCTTTCAACCACCACAGACTCGAACATGAGCTCGCTGCACTCGGGCCGCATCAGTCGCATCGTAACTAGCGAATTTCCCCAGTACTTCGCCATCGTGACGCGCATCAAGCAGGAGGTCCACGTGATCGGCTCCGAGGGCGGGATTCTGGTGTCGAGCGTCGCGCCCCAAGTCCAGGCGGTCTTTGCCCCGGGCGCCCTGACCAAAAAGATCAAAGTCGGCCTCCAGGCCCACGTGATCCCGCCCGAGTCGACGGCCAAACTTCTGGGCAACTGCGTGGCCGTCTCGCCCGTCATCACGATCGAGCCGCGACGCCGCAAGTTCCACAAGCCCATCAGCCTGACTCTGCCCGTGCCCCAGGCCGCCAACAAGGGCATGATCAACAATTACGGCGGCGAGACGCCGACCCTTCGGCTGCTCTGCAGCATCGCCGGGGGCACCAGCGAGGCCCAGTGGGAGGACGTCACCGGCTCGACTCCGCTCAATGTCATAAACGACCAAGTGTCATTCGCTACGAATGTGTCGGCCAGTTTTTGCTTGATAAACAGTTGGAATATACGACAGGTGCCGATAATGGCTTCGAAATTATTCATAGAATCGACACATATTCCCATATTTATCAAGTAAATAGATGCTTTTCGAAAATACCATATATTTCAAATCAGAAACAGAAACTTAAATTTATTAATTAATTCTCTTTGCAGTATTCTCATTTACTACAAACCTTTTAAAGATTCAAGATTAACTATTATGAGAATTTTATGCGTGACGAAAAATCATGAAGAAGTTGATACCTTAGAAAAACAAGAGGGATTCAAAAAAATTGTTGTTAGCCGAGATATTGAGGTAATTTTAATACCTAAAAACTCATCATATTTTTATCTCAAATAAATTTTATTCCCATCTAGATCTTTAGAGACAAAGATATATTCATCAAATTTACTGGGAACTTGGTGCCTTTAACAAATTCAAGGGTTCAGTTGAAATTCAAATTTGATGCTTTTAAACACAATAGATTATCATTTTATGCCAAGGTCAAAAATCCTCTACTTGATCCAGTGGCTCGAATGATTTTTACAGATGAACCAGAAATTTTTAAAAATGAAGCAGCTAAAAAACCTTTATGTGCTCTAAATATAATTTTACCTCTTGATTCTAAAATAAATAAAATAGCATAAGTCAAATGATGGGTTAACTAGTATTAATTTTTAAGTTTAATGCATGAAAATATTTCTTTTAGCATTTTATGAAAATTTATTTCTGTAAGAAGTTATTATTGGCAGGTTGATTTGAATTAAAATATTTTGCAGTTAATTGTTTTAAAACTATTGATATATTGTAATATATAATAAGAAATTACTTTTTACATTGTTGAATGATTTTCAAAGTCTTTTGACATATGTACACTATTGCAAATATAATTTTTTAGATAATCACTCACGAATGAGTAACTTCATCATAATTTTATTTTGGTTGTTTCTTTTTTATTTCCTCTTGAGCTTCCTTCAATTCTTTTTTGAAATCATTGGAGAATTTTTTTGCAGCACCAACTACTTGCTGTCCAAATTCTATACTATTCCTGGGTAATTGATGCGCACCACTGAGTGTACTTGTACGGTTAAGTAAATAAACTACCATCTGGGCTGCTCGTCTGATTGGCTTGGAATCAGCCAATTTATTCACTAATTGTTCGTTATTGGAAAAATAACGAAAAAGAAATCTAAGCACCATATTGAAACTGTACACAATTGCCTTCGATTACGTTCAAACTTTTTGTGAATCAAATGTGCACATATTACGATACTTTTGTATCAGTTCCTTTTTCAGTCTGAGCTGTTGCCTCAATGTTTCCAACTTTTGTAGCTGTTCTTGTTTGCTGTATTCTATTCCAGGCAGCTTGTTAATCTATAACAAAAGGCAACGTATATTATAAGAAAAATTTTAAACAAGAGGTGTTTCAATGTAGTAAAAATGAATACCTGTGCTCTGGCTGACTCCAATTTGCTTTTAAGTTCAAGAATTTTTTGACTTGTATCAGCTGATTCTTTTGCTTTTTGACTGTCGTGAGGATCCTTTTCAATACTAGAAACAAAAATAACAGATTTCACATTATTATCAGAAGCGTATAAAAATGCAGTGCGAATGATAAAGCAATATTATGAGTGGAAAGGAGCGCTCATAAAAAAGAGAAATTATTAGTTAAAAAAAAGTATTGTGAAATGAACCTTCGAAGGATATCGTAAATAACAGGTAGAATTTCAATATCCAAGTCAGCCACTGTAAATTGAGGGTTAGCAGGCTCTTCTTGCGATATTATTTCAACATCCATTGTCATAGCACACTGTTTATTTTCATAACAAGGAACACAAAAAAGCCAATCAAATGAGAGTTCGCTGGATAGAGGTAGGTTAATGAGAATGATCCTTTTAATTAGGTACCTAAAATTTTTTGACTTAATTTCAACCTCGAGCAGACAACGCGACCAACGACGCAGGGGACTGTTTGCAACACTTCGTAAATGTCAAGCCATTAACTAATGACGAGATCTGGTTGTAAGATTTACCGCTAGAGGGCATACTCTTACAGTTATCTACTCATCTACAGAATGCTCATGCGCATGAGTTTAAAATTTCAATATTACATTATAATTAAATGAATTATTTTTTTATTTTTCTTCAATACATTTTGGTTTATGAATGTAATCTTTCAATACGGCCTATTGTACAGAGTACATCGAAAAAAATGTTATAGATATTATGTTCACGTTGCGCTGAATTCTCTAATCTCTTCTCCCGCACGAATTACGAAAAAACGCCGTCTGCCGGCCCTGCCGCTAAAAGCGTGATATCAACTTTGCACTTCGCAAAGCTTTCTGTACTGAGTAACCTCAAAGAGGTATTCGCAGACGGTGAGTAATAATTATTAATATTTTTACTCCAAGTAGTTTTAATCAATCGTTCTTTTATGCAAAAATGTAACAATAGGAGTAAACCGTAGTTTTTAAGATCTGTCTGTAAGTTTTGTTATGTATAGATATTAAATTGTGCTTGTTTATATTTTACAGATCAAAATGGGTCGGCGACCAGCGAGGTGGTGAGTGTTCTTGAAATTATTGCCGTATTTAAACTTTGTCAAAGTGTCATTGATTTAACTAATTTTGAACAATTGCTCTTTACAGTTATCGTTACTGCAAAAACAAGCCCTACCCAAAATCACGTTTCTGTCGTGGTGTGCCAGATCCTAAGATCCGCATCTTCGACTTGGGCAAGAAAAAGGCCTCCGTAGAGGATTTCCCACTATGTGTACATTTAGTGTCAGATGAGTATGAACAGCTCAGTTCGGAAGCTCTGGAAGCTGGACGTATTTGCTGCAACAAATACCTTGTCAAGAACTCTGGTAAAGACCAGTTCCACATTAGAATGAGGGTACATCCTTTCCATGTTATCCGCATCAACAAAATGTTGTCATGCGCTGGAGCTGATAGGTAAATAATGACTTTATTCTAACTGTATTTGCCACATATTAAATTAGTTACATTTGGAATTTTATATCAAAGCTAAAAATAGCCTTTTTGCAACTGTTAAAATACTTGAAATTATTGAGAAATTGTAGTTTCTAGAAATTTTATTACGATGTTTTCTATTTATTACGTTTTTTTATCAGAAGTAGCTAAACGTTAAAATTAGTATTACTTTTAATTATCACAAATATTAATTAATTCTTTTTATTCAATTTAGGCTTCAAACTGGAATGAGAGGTGCTTTCGGTAAGCCACAAGGTACCGTTGCTCGTGTCCACATTGGACAACCAATCATGTCAGTCAGATCCACTGACAGACATAAGGCGTCAGTCATTGAAGCTCTGCGTCGTGCCAAGTTCAAGTTCCCAGGTCGCCAAAAGATCTATGTCTCCAAGAAGTGGGGTTTCACTCGTTACAATCGTGCTGAATACGAAGCTCTCAAGGCCGCTGGACGAATGGCCCTTGATGGGTGCAATGTTAAATACTTGCCAGAACACGGACCTCTGGCCGCATGGAAAAAACACAGGGAAACTCTTGCTAATTAAATAAGTTCAATTTATTGCAAAATAAGTTTAATACAAAAAACATCAAAACTACACAATCAGTTTTATTTATTTCATTAGTATCCTACTGTACATAACACTTAAAGAGGAGGAAGTGAAGTTGATTAATGTAAGAATCAATTCTTTTTGGATGAATATCATTGAATCAAGTTTGATTCACCAATTTAAGCTGCAAAATCATAATTGTAAGGTCGTATTTCGAAGTTTGTTTTATTTGAAAAGAAATTAAAAATAATTACAACAAGCGCAGTATAATATCATGTATGCCCATTGCACAATACAGTCTTTGGTCGTGATCGTCAATTACAGCGAAAAAAAAAAATAAAAATAATCGATCGATTCGTAAGGGACCCATCGAACGCATACCCTGCACTTTGTAACTCGAGCATCGATGCGTGCTCGATGCGGCAACGACGCGCGTGCGACTCGAATGCTCCTCTCTTCTTTTTTTTTTTTTTAATTTTCGTACGTGCAGGTTCGGTGGATGAACTTTGACGTTGAGTTGCTATCGTAGCACCGAAACAATCGACGCGAATAACAAGACGCTTTAATAATTGATGAAAGGCACGAAGGTTGAAACGTGTATCAACCCCTTCCGACCACAAATCTCAATATGTATTTAAGAGCGAAGAGAGAGAAAGAGAAAGTGGAAGCGAGTAAACAAGCAGCGCGAAGGGTGAGAAGAGAGAGAGCTTTACACATCGTTAATCGACGCTTAAGCGCCTTGCGGGCTAAGACCTCGATCAACTGGAAGATTTGTTATACATCGGCGGTCGGCGTGCAGCGCTGCGTGAAGTGGCCGCTAGCTTATTTTTTTTTTCTTCTTATATAGATAGATATGGGCACGCGAGGGAACAGATCTCGTGTACACACATGGAGACGCGTCGTGCACATTAAAGGCTTCGCTCAATCTCGTCGTAAGCTTTTGCGCCCACGGTGTTGTACACGATGAAAATCGGCGGTGAATCGAGCGCGACGCGATGACGTATGTGGACAAACATATTTAGATTTAAATACCCGCCGATCGGGGGTCCTTTTTTTAATCTTGAATTTGTCGCGTTGATTCATCGATCGAAATGCGATCTAATTGTGAAAAAAGACTCGCGCGTAGCTTCTATGCACGTACATCGTATAAAAGCCAAAAAAAAGCTCCGATCGCCAAGAGTTGAAAAAAATTTAAATAACTCGGTATCCGCGAGTATACGGGATATAGGGACTCGCGTGCGCGCGTTAAGCCTATAATCACCGAATGCAAGAAGAAAAAAATGTAGCGTACGAAGTCCTGATAACATGGCATGTGCAACGGGTATAATATATCGCGCGTAAAAGCTGTATATTATGATCCAAAAGCTCGCCGCTGCCGCTCCTCCGAAATTTATTTATACCCGCGTCGAATTGGATTATTTTAAAATTTTACTGAAAATCGAATGGTTTATTCGTCGGGAACGGGATTTAGTAACGATATTACAGTTGTCACTGCAGTTTACTATTCAGGATTAGTGCACGAGTGACAAATTGCAAGTACGTAAATATCCTCGATGCAGAATACGGTTTTGGGAACATTGTAGTTTTTTAAAATATTTTAATCGATCGATTTGAAACAGATACCCGTGAGTTTTCGCGTTTATTTTTAAATATAGAAAAATGGAAAATACTATAACGTTAGATGAAAATACATGAATAATACTCTTGCGTTCGCTAGTTAATAATAGTTAGATGAAAAATTGAGAATCTGAGTTCAAGTGGACAGAAATACCCACGATGAAAAAATAAATAAATAATCAAAATTGTAAAGAATCGTCGTTAAATTTTTGAACAATCGAAGTTTAAAGATCTGCGCAATCACACGAATCGTCAAAGAGCCTATAATTATTTCGTTTTATCGAAACACGAATACGATCCGGAAATAACAATCGCAATGGATTCTATCGATCGCTGCGTATAACATTGTGTTACACACCGTATCCATTGTCTCATACACTCGCTCCTCTCGTCTCGAAAAATCTTCCAATTCAAACAAACCTCTCTATGATAAATCGCAAGAGAGCTAGCATCGATTATTTATCGCGGCCTATCGTACCGTACGAACCACGCCGGGTGAGAATAGTATCGTATACGAACGCGCGTGTTGCACTATATATATACCGTCCACTGTGTACTACGAGTTTTTCAACCCCCTCTCGTGGTCGCGCGCGTGTATATGCATGCGCGCGAGTCTACTCGGGGGTGCGGTTCTCGTCGTAGGGGGGAGAATTAGTCGCGACTGCTCTCGAACGAGAGAGACCGCGTATATACTAGTAGTAGTGGTAGTAGTAGTGGGTATATAGTAGCGGCAGTAGTAGCAGCAATAGCCTCGAAAGCGATCGCACACCGCCACGGCTGCTCCGAAGCTCTCTCTCTCAGTGTGTGTGTGTGTGTGCGCGTCCACCACTACCACTACCCGGATCGGAGCAACCCCCCGCACGCGCACCCACCAGACGCTGCTCGCTACGATACCATACAGTCGTCGCGCAGTGTCCGGCTTTGAATCATCTCCTTTTAAACAAATCTCATCCGAGTGTTTAGAAGAAGAGTTAATTAGAATCTAGTGTGTGTGTGCCGCGAGAGAAAAGCGAAAATTGGCCGGCGCTGATTATGAGGTGGTCGCGGACGCTTTGCGACGATCGAGTGTTTGTGCGATAATACGCTCGTGTACATATAGATATGTTGAGGCTACAGTGGTGAATCATTGCGCGAGTGTGCATACATATATATATATAGCCGTCTCTCAGTGTTGAAGCAACGGTGTGCACTGGAGCTGGAGCTTCAGCATCGCACACACACACACTCCACCGCACGACGACGATGCTACCTGCAAAAGCAGCGGTGGCGTCGGCTCGCGACTCCAAAGTGCAGTAATAATAACTATAAAGGACGCGCACGAAGCAGCGGCATAAAAATATATAAAAGCATCGCCGGAGGAGCTTCGGGCAAAGTGTCGCGATGGTTACCGACAGCTCGAGCCAGGTACACACACACACACGCATAGGAATAAAAAAAAAAGAACCTCATGGACGATTGATTGCTTGTGTGCCATTATAATAACTCGAGTATCGTCGTTATATGTAAAAATTGCGGCATAGAAAAAAAATCCAACTCGTTTCCCCATAATGTAACGATTAATGTGCGTGCGCGCGAGTACTGTACATATACGATGCGCTTGGCAGAGGTAAAGAGGAGGAGGAGGAGGGGGTCAAATTATGTGCGGGGGGTATTTAAATGTCGTATGTATATATACGGGCAGCCGCTGCTGTGCGGTGTGCTCGCGCGTATAGTAGTAGAGTCGAGGGCATTTAAACACACGCGCTCGCGACGACGACTAGGGGACAGGTGCACACTGCATCATGCACACGCATATACAAAAGGTGTACAACGTCTATAGGGTCGCACGCAAGTTGATAACAGCGCGACATCGTGTGCTGCCCTCCTCCTCCTCATCCTCCCTTGCGTGTCATCATCGTCGTCGTTATCATAGTCGTCGATGCGATATCCGTCGAACGAACGGACGGACACGAGATTTTGGCCCCCCCGCGCGCGATTCAATGCGTGTGATAAGCACGATGCCCATCGTATATCGAAGTAAAAAGGGCTCGTCTACATTGCGCTTTCTCTCGTTATCAAAAAAAAAAAAAAAAAGGATACTTCAGCCACGCGCGTGAGGTGATTTTAATTGTAAATGTAATACGGGTTGTTTGCATCGAATCTCTTCGTCGTCGATACATCGCACGCAGAGCCCAGATCCAATTTAATCTGAAGAGCGGCGAAATCGACGAGCGATATAATATAATAATAACGTCTATTATATGAGGCGGTACGTCAGGTGCGCTCTTGCATGTGTACAGATAAAACGAGAGGAGCTTCCAACTCTCAATTCTCTCTGCTTTTCTGTGCACTTGGTCTCTCTCTGTCTCTCTCTCTCAGTGCGATTGTAGTAAGCTGCATACACACATATATACAGCCGCCACAGTCGCGCGACGCACTGGTATTATACCGGCGCTATATACGTATGCAAGAGACGTATTAATGCAACATCTACATACGCGCACACACACACACACCCTCGTGAGTCGGAGTCGACGTGTACACACACACATATATACGGATCGAATTCAGCCTGGCGCGCGCCTTGTGGGTATTATACATAGGGTGCTTGTGTATTGCACTGTATAAGTGGTAGTAGTGGTAGTAAGGCGGCGAAGGAGGCGCATGCATACACACACACATACAAATACAGCGCGCATATATATATTACGCGAGAGAGTGTGGCGCCGGTGCTCCGTGCAAGGGTGGTGATGTCAGACTGCGAAGAGAGAGAGAGAGAGAGAACGCGTCTATATATATACGCGCACACACGATGGCAGGCGTACACTGGCTGTATATAAAAGGACTGCCGCTGCCGCCCTTGCAAAAATTCTCTCTCTCTCTCTCTCTCTCTCTAAAGAGAAAAGAGAATCCAAAGCCGTAAAACACGTAGAGAGTCAGGCCTGCTGCTGCCACGAATAAACTTTAACTCCTTGCAATAGCTCTTTTTTTCACTTACTCGATGATTTTATTTTTGAACTGGCGTTGTAGCGATGAATCGTGCGTAACGAGTATTTTTTTCATATGTAATCAACGAAAGCTCGCGTTTATATACATTGGATGTTTTCTGAAACAAAAGTATTTTAAGTCACCGACGACGATGACGACGACGATGTATATTCCCACGTGATGACGAGAGGGGTTGACAAATATTATATACAGTCGTGTAATGGGTTACATCGTATATCGCCCGCATCGATCTCATATTGATTTTACCCATAACGTATCGCGCGTGGATCGTCGGTGCTCTGTGCTATCTTACGAATTAATCATCCGCTGCGGTCTTTGATGTAGCCAGTTCTCTATTTTTTTTTCCTCCTCTTCTTTTCTTTTCTATCTTCCGCCGCGGTTAAGCTCTCAGCTGTATTATTATACGAAAAAAATAATAATTCCGAGAAGAAAAAAAAATGAAAGAATAAAAAAAAAGAAGAATAAAAGTTGCACAGAGGCAGCTTCCTCGTGGCACGTAATAATTTTTCCTTGGCAGAGCCACGAGCTTTTCTCTCTCTCGGTTTTCTTCGGCATTTCAATGTATACCTGAATGTACCATATATCTCTGTACCAGACATGGTGGCCTATAGCTTCGATTATTTCCCACGTCGTCGTCGTCGGCGGCCTTTTTTTTCGCTCCCTTTGACTCCGCGCGTCGGTGACGAGTTTCTCTCTCTCTCTCCCTTTCTCGATATATCTATATTTTACAAAAGCTCGGGCAAGTCCGCAGCAGCCTGTGACACACTTTTAGCAGGCCGTTTATATACACACAAACGCACACACGTATCGAGTGTATTCTCTCAATTTCTCTCTCTCTCTCTCTCCGTCACTCCTTTTCTGTATTTATACACAACAGTTTGCCCGTCGTCGTCGTTCTCTCTCTCTCGGCTACATCATCGCGTCGGCGTCCGACACGCGTAAAGTACAAGTATATAATATAGATGAAACGCAGCCACTGTGTATAAACACTGCACCAGAGTCCGGTGGCTGGCATGAAAGACGCGTCTGCGACGATAACGACAGCTGCTGTGTACATGACAAGTACCGCTATAGCTATATACGTAATGCCGCATGAAAAAGCGAGAGATCGTGCCGTCGTTTGACAATTTTTTTTATCTTTTTTTTCTTTCATATAGTTTAAAAACTATTCGTTACCATGTGCAATGGAAAAGGAATTTCTCGTGGATTTGAAGCCGAAAGAACGAAAAAATAATGCACGTCGAGGCCTATCTGACACATTAATTTGTAATTCGTCCAACGCGACGCGTGTACAATAGGTCTACGACTCTATAAATGCAAATGAGGCAATGCGGGTGGCTCGTGTACACTGTAACGAAGTGTATTATAATCATTCTCTCCTCTCGTTTACCTTTGAGAATTGAAATTTCAACCCTTTTTGCTCTTTCTCTTTGCTCTGCTTTTGCGTAATTCACACACGAGTGCGGTATACTACGTATTTTACACGTAGAAAACGTCGGATCGCTTTGTTACGTGTACACATACGAAAAACGAAAAGCTCGCCGGGCGAGCGATTGGAAATCGTAATCGATTCTCTCGCAGTCTATATAATGGATTAGCAATCGTAGACTTTTGACTTTTTTTTATTTATTTTCGAAGCTGTACCACTCCAAGGGGATATCGAGTTTCGAACGCGCATCGCTATGTAGAAAAACATTTTTCGCGTGGATCGATACGCGCGTTATATATTTTCGTGTATCGCCGTGATATCGAATCGAGAGAGTGTTGAATGAGTCACGATAATGTGTGTATAGTTCCTTAATGACGTACCCAAAGTTAGCCCTCGTAAACGCAATGTCCAGATCGCAGATCGAACGTAAAATCTCACGCTGCGTACATCGAATTCTAGACCGAAGCTCGCCCAAAAGGGGAGAGAAAGGAAAGAAAAACGTGTGTGACGAAGTTCCGAGTGTGAACTCGTTGGTGTGCGGCACGTAAAACGATCACAACACACGTACGCTCACGAGTAATATACACGCGAAAGATCGAAGCACTTAATCCGCGCGAGCTGTTATCGGTGTTCAACTTGAAATTCTTCAAGTTCGATCGGCCTATTCGAGCCACACATGTAGTCAATGTCAATGAGCCAAAGTTCAATTGGCACATTATACGCGCTTTATCTATCATCCCATTTTCTACATTATCTATATACCTATTGCATTATATATACTGTATCCACTTGAAACTCTTTTACATCGCGTACGTGTGGTCTAATTTCATCCCTGACACGCGTTTCGTATGCTTCGAAAACTCGAGCGCACGAATCGGCCGAGAAACTTTTGGCCGCGACGCGAAACACTCGGATTTACGTAATATAGCATATGTATAGGATGAAAAAAATTTACACGTCTCGCCAAGGATTACGTATTTTAACGAAGTACAGGAGTTCTACTTTTTTTTCTTTTTTTCCGAGTAAATTAAGAGAGGGTCACAGCGATAACACACGTTGATACAGCCTACTGGAATGCTCGCTTCGTTTATAATATAAATGTGTTATACGCCGGGGGTGGAGAGAGAGTTTACCGGATTTATACCGCGAGGTTTAAGCTACTACCTCCGCGTGCCGTATGCAAATTTTCTTACTTACGGGCACCGGCGTACGGGTGTAGTGTGGTAATGAAAAAAAAAGGCAAGAGGAGAAAGAAATTATGTGTATTCCGTCGCATTGTATTATTAGCGTGGCGACTTATATACATTATAAATATCGATCGACTCTAGTATACGTAAAACAACATGATACGGCGATAAAAAGAATACAAGGTCCGAATTATTATACATATGCTTACGGCTTGACGTGACCGGTCGCGTCATATCGTACACTACATATTCGTACCCTCGCGTGCGTTATAGATCGGTAATTCGGACCGGAGCATCATCGCGTCGTTACGCAATACATCGTAATTATTTTTCATTTCGTTCCTTTTGCAGAGCGAAGCCACGACGGCGTTTCTGCGCGCCGCTCGGTCGGGCAATTTGGAGAAGGTCGTGGAGTATCTGGACCAGCAGCAGCTCGACATCAACGCGTCCAACTCGAACGGGCTGAATGCGCTGCATCTGGCCTCGAAGGACGGCCACTTGGAGATCGTCGCGGAGCTGCTGAAACGCGGCGCCAAGGTCGACGCCGCGACCAAGAAGGGCAACACTGCCCTGCACATAGCATCCCTCGGTACATCATTAATTTTAATTATGCTTCCTGCTAGAAATGCTAAACATTTGTATGGCTATGTTTGTGCAAAGGAAAAACTAGTTGGAGCATGGTCGTGTTACTCGTCTCAAACCCATAATTTGATTTATACAATTATTTTGATATTGCCACTTGCAGATTTACATATAAATGGGTACTCGCCATCTAGCGGTGGAAACTTGAAGTATTATTATCGTATTTAAAGTGGTTACAAACTGGTCGAAATTGTATAAAACAGATAAATCGTCATTTTCAAATCATTTAATCCACTCAATAACATTGTAACAAAAAATCACCAACAAAAAGTCAATAATATACCATGTATTTTAAAACCCCATCAACTTTATTTTATCGATCATTAGGTCGTTATTATTGTTGAGCATTTCTATCAGGACTATTATACCTCAAATGAAGGTAATTGACATAACAACGATTCGATTGTTTTTTTCAGCCGGTCAAACGGAAGTAGTCAACGTACTGATTAATTACGGCGCCGCGGTCAACACCCAGTCGCAGAATGGCTTTACGCCCCTGTACATGGCCGCCCAGGAGAATCACGATCAAGTCGTCAAAGTACTGCTCAACAACGGGGCCAATCAGAGCCTCGCGACGGAGGTGAGCTATCGTCTTTTTTTATTATTATTATTATTATCGCCCATCCGTCCACGTGGTTCACATTTCTTTGAATCAAAAATGTTGTCTTTCTCGTTCTCGATTCGGATCAGGACGGCTTCACGCCTCTGGCGGTGGCGATGCAGCAGGGCCACGACAAGGTGGTGAGCGTGCTGCTGGAGAACGACTCCAAGGGCCGAGTCCGACTGCCGGCGCTGCACATAGCCGCGAAAAAGGACGACTGCAAGGCGGCGGATCTGCTTCTACAGGTATGTAGTATAGTTATAACGAAAGAAAAAAAAAAGAGTTGGCTTTGTCATACGCATCTAAAAATTAACACCGCTATAGCCTCTTTCCAACGCCGATGATAATTATTATCGATAATTTGTCGCGCTCGATGAGCCTACAATAATAGCGTTCAATGTCGGCGCGTTCTCGTTTTTATTTTGCTCCGCACGTACACGATGCACGAGTTTCAATCTCCGCTAGATCGGAGATTTTTTATTTATTTATTTATTTATTTTTTTTGGCAAAATGAATAAACAACGTTGTGAATTAATTTTCAGAACGACCACAAGCCGGACGTGACGTCGAAGAGTGGCTTCACGCCGCTGCACATAGCCGCGCACTACGGCAACGAAGAGATCGCCCGGCTTCTCATCAAACGAGGCGCCGACGTGAACTATCTAGCCAAGGTATATTTCAATCCAATCCAACGACGAATAATAATCTTCGCAATCGATTCAACGTTGATTCATTTGTACTTCTTTTACTCTTTTTCTCAGCACAACATAAGTCCGCTGCACGTGGCGGCGAAATGGGGCAAGAACAACATGGTGAAGATACTGCTGGAGAGCGGCGCGGCGATCGACGCCAAGACCCGGGACGGCCTGACGCCGCTGCACTGCGCCGCGCGATCCGGCCACGAGCAGTGCGTCACCAGCCTCCTCGAGGCCTCGGCGCCGATCAGCGCGAGGACCAAGGCAAGCGTCGTTTTTTATTATCATCATTTTTTATTGTATAGAATCGATGTGATACTTGGTTCCGATATAGGCGCGAGTCAATCGCGAAACGAAACTTTTCAGGGTTTAGGGCGAGCGAATTACAAAATTGATATGGACGTGTTATTGACTTGCGATTGATAATATGCTATATTTTTCTTCGAGAATTTATTGATTTTTTCAGTATTCAAACATCGTTTTTACATAGTGAGACAGCATTGAAGTTGATATTATTATAAATGAGCATTTTTTAATTATTGTGCTTAACAATTTGAATACCTTTGAGCGACTTATCAATGTGGTTTTTGGGATGTCTATTTATACGGAAATTATTTCCTCATTATGCCCCATAACAATGTGCCTTTGGAGATGATTCTGTCATACTAATGTCTTTTCGCACGCGTTGCGCGCTGATTTGAAGTGCAAATTCAGATTCCTCTTACGTGAAAACTTCTTTCCGCATCTATCACATGCATGTGTGATTTTATTATGAACCGCATCGATGTGGATTTTAAGATAAACTTTTTTTGCAAATGATTTTCCGCATTTGTCGCATGTATGTTTGAATCCATTGTGCACCGAATCTTTGTGGATCTTGAGATGAATCTTTTGTGAATATGTCTTTCCACAAATATTACATGCATGCCTAATACCATTGTGCACCGCATCGACGTGTACTTTGAGATAACTGTAAATTGAGAATTTCTTGCCGCAAAAATCACATGGGAAGGTGGTACTTTGATGCGCTGATAGAACATGTCTACTTAACCTATTCTTGCTTGCGTATTCATTTCCGCATATATCACACGCGTGTTTGACACCGCCATGCAAGGTGTCAATATGTGTTTTCAGATTACTCTTGTTTGATAATTTCTTTCCACATATGTCACACGAATGGATTCCACCATTGTGCAACGTGTCAATGTGTTCTTTGAGATTGCTCTTGTTTGATAATTTCTTTCCACACATGTCACACGAATGGATTCCACCATTGTGCAACGTGTCAATGTGTTTTTTGAGATTGCTCTTGTTTGATAATTTCTTTCCACATATGTCACACGAATGGATTACACCATTGTGCGCCGTATCGATGTGATCTTTAAGATTACGCTTACTGGAGTATTTTTTTCCGCATATTTCACATGCATAGATCTTATCATTGTGCACTGCATCGATATGCGTCTGGAGATTAAAATTCAGCGAAAATTTCTTGCCGCATACGTCACACGAATGGGTAATACCTTGATGAACTGATTTAACATGTCTATTCAGATGACTCTTGAATTTATACGTCTTTCTGCAAATATCACACTCGTGCAAAGTGTAATTGCCATAATGCACGAAATCGATGTGAGCTCTGAGATTGATCTTCTTTCTGTATGTCTTTCGTCAAAAATCACATTGGTAGGTGATACTTTGATGCGATGATTGATGATGTCGAAGTAAACCACTCTTCCAAGAGAATTTCTTTTCGCATATTTTACATGCGTGGGCTTTATCATTATGCACCTTACTGATGTTTGTTTTGAGGTTAAGTTCATCGTTCAACTTTTTTGTAATTCTTCTTTTTTTATTTTGTTCGAAAAGTGCACAGTCGAAATTTAAATCTACATCTTCAGCGGCGTCGCCTAAAAATTCTTGTTTCACTTCCCCCGTAGTTTCTATTTTAATGTTATTCTGAGTTCCAGAACCATCGCTATTTTTTATATTCCTTGAGTGATTTTGTGAATCATCGTCAATTTTTTTAACTGTTGATAAATTAATGTTGGGTTTAACGTCTTCGCACTCAACAATTATTTCCACTTGGTCATCCAGTTTATTCTCACGATTCACGTCACATTTTCGTACGATATGGTCCTGTTGAAAAATTAAAGATCTGAAAGAATCTTCATAAAAATAACTACGTATATGAGTTACGTAAATTGTCAATATTGCTTACTGAATTTTCTCGCTGAAATGGCAAGAATTGAAAGTTTTTCAGATCGGGTTTCTCATCAATCGTCTCGCGATCGTTTTCAATGATCGATGTATGGATTGGTTCCTCTTTCACTCTGAAATAATCACGATCTTATCAAGTTGTAAAAATTGTACAATTTCATTCTCAAAAAATGAAAATTACCTGACATTGCAATCGAGTATATCGCTGGATTCCATCATTGACTCTCGGAATTTCATCAAACTAATTAACACTAAAAAAGACTGTCGAGTATATAGCTGTGCTGTTACTGTACTCGCTATATTTATAGAAAAACTGTGTTGTCTACGCGAAGAGCACTTAAAGGTTATTCTCGACCAGTTCCGCACAGTACTACAGCTCCCGCAAGTCTCGATGAAATTCAACGCTATCATGGAAAGCAAAATACCGCAGAAAGGTCGTGTTGCTCGATAGCATGCGACGCGCGATGAACACATTTGAACACAACAGAACGAGCCAAGCTCGTTGTATGGTATCGGCCATTTCTTTTTCCGTGCACTTTTTAGCTTGAAGTATCGAAGCCATCGATATGTAAACGTAGAAAACTACGTCATTATAATGATATCGATGATATACATTTTCTAGACTAGATATATCAGGTTGACCATAATTCATAAACACACCGCTAGGCGGCGAACAACTGACACCCACAAGTGACAAACCACAATAAAGATTACTATAAATAGGTACTAACTTCGCATCCAAGTAGTACCTTCAATGGACAAAATGAAGTACCTTCTTTTTGTTGTATAAAAGATCTGAAGAAGAACAAGAAAACTATATAAATCATTCTGAATGACGACTTAAATGACTACAAAGAATAATTTATATTTTATTTATTAATTTATAATCGATTCCTTCGCCGATATTCCCAATTCATATTCATAATTTTTATTTTCAATTCGCCCGTGGCACAGAATGGACTGGCACCGCTGCACATGGCGTCGCAGGGCGACCACGTGGACGCCGCCCGGGTGCTGCTCTATCATCGGGCGCCCGTCGACGAGGTGACGATCGACTATCTGACGTCGCTGCACGTCGCGGCGCACTGCGGCCACGTGCGGGTGGCCAAGCTGCTTCTGGACCGCAAGGCCGATCCCAACGCCCGAGCCCTCAACGGCTTCACTCCGCTGCACATCGCCTGCAAGAAGAATCGCATCAAGGTCGTGGAGCTGCTGCTCAAACACGGCGCCTCGATCGAGTCGACCACCGAGGTGAGCTCATGAGCTTCGATACACAGCCTGCACAGTTTTACAAATTCGTTACGTTACTCGAGTAAATTTTTCCGCTGCTACATGGTTTACCGAGCAATTGAGGGCAGTGTACATACGTTTTAATGTTTCAACGTAAAAACACGAGTCGTTTTCTCGAGGGGCTAATCCTTAATAGACTTTATACGTACGTAAGGGCGTCTGCGGTGTCTCCGCGCTGCAGACGCTACATTAACATCCATAATTTATCATGTCCTGGGTGTAATTAACTCTCTACAACTTGAGCTCTCTCGCTCTCTTGCACGTACGCGAGATAGTTAAACGAGTTTAAAATTTTTATTCGAGGTTTTAAAATTTATCTCGAGCGCCGGTCTAAATTGTACCGCAATCTTTGTCGATCCATCGAGCGCCACGCCACGTCCCACATTTTATTTTTATGAAAATATTACACACCACTTCGAATAATTGAAACATATCGATCTCTCTCTGTTGCCGTCGTCGTCGTCGCGCCACGACACAGTCGGGACTGACGCCGCTGCACGTGGCGAGCTTCATGGGCTGCATGAACATCGTGATTTTCCTGCTGCAACACGAGGCCAGTCCGGATGTGCCCACGGTGAGGGGCGAGACTCCGCTGCACTTGGCCGCGCGGGCCAATCAGACGGACATCATCAGGATACTGCTGAGAAACGGAGCGAAGGTCGACGCTCGGGCGAGGGTGAGTTAACCAACGAAACGCTGATCGTGTGCGAGGATCATATTAATTTTTAATTTTCTCTTCTTTTTTGCGTCGTTTCAGGAGCAGCAAACGCCGCTGCACATAGCGTCGCGTCTCGGCAACGTCGACATCGTGATGCTGCTGCTTCAGCACGGGGCGGCGGTCGACACCACGACCAAGGACATGTACACCGCCTTGCATATAGCCGCCAAGGAGGGCCAAGAAGAGGTAAAATTTGTTGGAAAAAAGTCTAATTGTTGTGTTTTCGTTTTGGTGTGTGAAAGATTTGAGCGTTTTTATTTTCACATTAACTATTATTATGAGTAGCACTGATGACATATACCGATCAGTATTATTTTTTATCACCATCACGACATTATACTTATATATTGTACATAAATAATTATTTTATAAAAAAGTGTGTGTTTATTTTAGTTATACTCATTTTATAATTTAATAAATTTGAATTTTACTCGTGAAGCATATTTTCATAGGTGTGTTATTTTTTTCAATTGCGTTTCATATATTACTCTTGTTCAAGATGCATGTGTTTTCTGTATTGTTATTGCACCCGATAATCATATTACGCATATCACGAAAAGAATTAAAGTTCATTTCTCAAGTGCTAATTGTTCACTTAGCACCTAGGTAAGTGCACTTATTATTTCTCACCTCACCTTATGACCTCGATTTGTTTCATTAATAAAAAGTACACTACGTAGTCTTTGACAATTTGCTAAAACGATCTTTCTAATGTGTTAATTTATCATCAAGGTGGCCGCTATATTGGTCGACAACAATGCATCGGTAAAGGCAACTACGAAAAATGGCTTCACGCCACTTCACGTAGCAGCCAAGTACGGCAACACGAATGTGGCTAAGATTCTCCTGCAAAAGGATAGTAAATTAGATGCTCAAGGAAAGGTAAGATTCGCAAAAATTTAATCAATTTACTACAGTTGCAAATCGTTACAATTTTTAATGAATCCGTAGAACGACATTACTCCACTGCTGTTGGCATGTCACTACGACCACCCGAACGTGGCCCAGCTGTTGTTGGAAAAAGGAGCCTCGCCATTGCTGGCATCGCAAAATGGACAAACGGCTCTGCACATCGCGGCCCGAAAAAATCAGATGGACATCGCCTCGACCCTCCTGGAACACTCGGCCAAGGCCAACGTCGAGTCCAAGGCCGGATTCACGCCTCTGCACCTCAGCTCGCAGAAGGGCCACTACGACATGACGAATCTGCTGATCGAGCACGGCGCCGAGCCCAATCACAAGGCCAAGGTTGAAACTCGTTTTCCTTACTCCAACCGATTTGAACTGCGGGAAATTGAGATTTATGGTTGATTTTTAGAACGGCTTGACGGCCCTGCACCTGTGCGCCCAGGAGGACTTTATCAGGGTGGCGTCGATCCTCGTGAAAAATGGGGCCAACGTCGAGGCCGAGACCGAGACGGGCTACCGACCCATCCACGTCGCGGCCCACTTCGGCAATCTGTCCATGATCAAATTCTTACTGAAACATGGCGCGGAGATCGACGTCAAGACCAAGCAAAATTACACGGCTCTGCATCAGGCCGCCCAACAGGGACACGCCCACATAGTCTCGGCTCTCGTCGAAGCCAACGCCAATCACAGAGCCCCGACTAATGTAAATTTTAATAAAATTAATTACAAAAAGATAGAAATAATTTTAGTCTGGCATATAGATTGAACGTTACGTTATTTTTTTATCAGGATGGACTCACGGCATTGAATATTGCTCAAAAGTTAGGATATATATCAGTGATGGAGGTACTAAAAGGTTTATCGTACGACGGAGTGACTCCGGATAACAAAAATTGGGAGGAGAAATACAAAGTCATTGCACCGGAAATTTTGCAAGAGTCTAGTCTTATGTCCGATTCCGATGACGAAGGAGGTTCGTATTCCATTATGATGATTCATAATCTATTGACTACAATCTAAATTTTCTTTTTCTCGATTTAGCCTCAGATGCTTTGATAAGCGAGCAACCATATCGATATCTCACTGCTGATTTGATGAAGAGCTTGAGGGACGATTCGTTACCGATCGACGTGACTCGCGATGATCCAGTCCACAGACAACAATGTGAGTATTTTTCACTAAAATATTTTCTACCACTTCTGAAGAATTTACAAAATCTCATTATTAATTGTCCAATCTTTATTGCAGTATCGCAAGAAGAACATCAAGAATTCGTTCAAAGTAGCAACTACTGCGCAGGTGAAATGTTCGACAGTACCGATTTCTCCAAGTGAGTACAACTGTTTTGTCACAATTGATATAACATTTACATTTTCATATTAAATAGTAATTGATTCACTAAGCACATAATTATTATATAATAGATCATCACTAATATAGAGTTAATTTTTTCTTTTCCATATTGTCATGCGCATAATATGAGCAGGCCACATTACAAATCGTTAGTATGCAACGCATGTATATTCACACTTTTCATCTATCGCACCGTACCTTTTTCCTTCGAGACTTGTTAATAAATATTTACCTTTTTTTTACCTCGATATTATTTGCACATATTTGAATAATTGCAGATTTATGATAATGTTGAAGTATTTATCTTATTGCGTCACTTCCTCACTTTTAATTATTCAAGTAATTTTGGTACTTGATAATTCTACGTCCAATCACGAATTTTCTATCTTTCCTGATAAGTTTTGAATGTGTGAAACTTAAACTAATCGCAAAAAAAACTTTTCAGATTTTTGGTCAGTTTTCTGGTCGATGCACGTGGAGGAACAATGAAGGGCTGCCGTCACAGTGGGATTAGGCTGATAGTACCACCGAGACGCGCCTCGATGCCGATTCGCGTGACCTGTCGCCTCGTCCGACCCAACAAAATGGCCATACCACCACCCCTGATGGAGGGTGAGTCCTTGGCGACTCGAGTAATCGAAATGGGCCCAGTCGGGGCGTCGTTCCTCGGGCCCGTCCTCATCGACATTCCCCACTTTGCCTCGGTGCGGGGCAGAGACCGAGAGATCATCATCCTTCGCAGCGAAAACGGCGAGACGTGGAAGGAACACGACAACTCGGCCGACAACGACGATTCCCTTCTCAACACTCCTTTTGGTACGTGATCACTTTTCAAATTTCGCTAGTAGAAATGCTCAGCATTAATTATGGTCTGGTAACCAAAATTTTTTACTTTGGTGTGGCAAAAGTGCTTGAACGAAAGTGTATGATATCACGACTATCGAATGCATTTTAAGAATTCTGAAAGTGACAATTCAACTGTTATAAAAAATATTGGTCAGTTTTAAACCCTTTGTATGAAATAATACTATTTTAAGTCTTCGCCACTAGATGGCCGCGTACGATTCTCTGTAAATCTGCAAGTGGCAAAGTCAAAATAAGTGTATAAGTCAGTCGCTTCCTGTTCTATTGTAAGTGCGTGTTGTACAGATTTCGGTTTTTTTGCTATCGGCATTACTTGTGTATCGTTTCTTCGTTCGTTTCGTTCGTTCGTTTATAACTATATCGTGTTTCAGTTAACATTATACTGATGACAACTATATTATACATCGTGTACTCCATGAACTTGCCAGGTGGAGCGCGAAACGCTTTGAATGTGAATTATTTTGACATATTCAATTTATACTGACGTTTTACAATTCTAAATGTAGTAAATCGATTATTAAAGTCAACCATTAATCAAAACAGATAATTTAAAAGAAAAAATGTGGATCACACCATGATCATAACATGTTTAAAAAAACGTTTTACTTTTGGTTATATAAAAGTTAAGATAAAAGTTCAGTCCTAATGGCCTTTCCATATCTAAGAAACTTTTCCGTTGGCCAAAAATTAGTAAAAAAATTCAAATTTTTTCTATCAAGGTTATATTTCACCTATTAATTACGATGCCTTTTTCTATTTTTTCTGTCAACTGCCTTAGACTCGAACATGAGCTCGCTGCACTCGGGCCGCATCAGCCGCATAGTGACGAGCGAATTTCCGCAGTACTTCGCCATCGTGACGCGCATCAAGCAGGAGGTCCACGTGATCGGCTCCGAGGGCGGGATTCTGGTGTCGAGCGTCGCGCCCCAAGTCCAGGCGGTCTTTCCCCCGGGCGCCCTGACCAAGAAGATCAAAGTCGGCCTCCAGGCCCACGTGATCCCGCCCGAGTCGACGGCCAAACTTCTGGGCAACTGCGTGGCCGTCTCGCCCGTCATCACGATCGAGCCGCGACGCCGCAAGTTCCACAAGCCCATCAGCCTGACTCTGCCCGTGCCCCAGGCCGCCAACAAGGGCATGATCAACAATTACGGCGGCGAGACGCCGACCCTTCGGCTGCTCTGCAGCATCGCCGGGGGCACCAGCGAGGCCCAGTGGGAGGACGTCACCGGCTCGACTCCGCTGAATTTCATGAACGACAAGGTCTCGTTCACCACGACCGTGTCCGCCAGGTTTTGGTTGATGGATTGTCGCAACATACAGGAAGTGCCAAAAATGGCCACGGAGCTCTACAGAGAATCTTTATACGTGCCCTTCATTACTAAGTTTGTATTAATATATCGGCTAAACATTTGGAAAATAATAAAATGAATAAACCTCTAAATTCACTTTTTCAGTTTTGTAATATACTCTAAGCGTCTTGAAGAAATCGAAGCTACTCTTAGAATATTGTGCATGACGGACAGCAGGGAAGGAATAAACACGCTCGAAAGGCAAGAAGAATTTTCGGAAATCGTTAAAAGTCGCGACGTCGAGGTAAGGCCGATTTTTAATCTAATCAAAATCTTCAATTCCTCCTGATCTAAATAAATTATGTATCTCGTTGCAGACGCTCGACGGCAAGGATCTGTACATCGAGTTCAGCGGCAACCTGGTGCCCGTGACCAAGTCCGGCGTGCAGCTGCGGTTCAAGTTTCACGCCTTCAAGCAGAACCGGCTGTCGTTCCACGTGAAGGTCAAGGATCCCCAGCTGGATCCGGTGGCGCGCATGATGTTCATGAGGGAGCCCAAGGTCGTCAAGGGCGAGCCGGCCCAGCAGCCGCTCTGCGTGCTCAACATCGTGCTGCCCGATACAATGTGCCAAAAGGATTACAAAGGTATGAGAGTGAGAAATTTAAACAAAAAAAAGGCGGACGGGTCGAAACTTAATTTTCGTTGTCGCGCAGGCATCAAAGATTCCAATCTCATCAATCAAAAGATGAACCTCATGAAGTCGAGCTGGGGCTACGATTACAGCGAGGAGAAGGGCGACGTGCCCAAGCGCACCTCGCCGACGAAGAGCAAATTCATCGTCGACAGCGCCGGTGCAGAAAAAACAGGTACGACAATACTTTTCCACATTCCATCGCGATGCATCACGTGTTACGATCCAGTTCAATTTTATAATCGTACCCAAATTTGCCGTTAGTTAAATTTTAATAAGAAAATCCAACGTCTCATTAAAACCAATTCGTTATACATATAGTTCTGAATGCGCATACAGAAATATCTAGACTCGTTTAACATTTATAGATAAAATAGCACCTGTAAATAACGCGAGTGTGTGAGTGTTTATATATAGACATCATTTAAATAATCATGTTAGATTATAAATTACGTCACATTATCTAGCTATGCATACATATATAGGATATCATTGATTGTTATTCATGAAAACTTGTACGTATCCGTTATGTAACATTAATGTAATTATTCTCTCGAGTATATGTGTATAATAACGTTTTAAAATCGTCATCATTGCTAACGCATATTACATGGATAATCCGTAACGATATAATTATCATTTCCACGATTAAAATTAATGTCATCCAGTACCTGAGATTCATTCATCAAGTGACATTTTAACGACGTATATAAAAAGTATGTAAAACATGTTGTACAAAGCGATTCATCTAGGTTTTTATTACCGATATAGTTCTGTAAGTAGCGTTAATCTTCGACTTTCCATATAGTCTCATGTATCTCTCATCGACGCAAAATAATTGTGTACCTTGAATTATCAGCGATTAAAAGAAGATTTTGCATCAAGAAGAGAAGCGTATGCGATATCGTATCCGCAAAGATGTGTTTACACGAGCAAACGGAGAAAAGAACAAAAAAAAAAAAAAAATAACCGACGAATTCTACCGAATCGAAAATCCTCTTATGTGATTTATGACAAAAGCACGATGATATCCAGTGCCATTGCCACACGTCGAGATTGAGGGGCTTCCCAGCGCGGCATTAAATTCGATTACGTTATACAGCAGCAGCAGTACTGCACACAAGTATCGGCTACTCGGGGGTGGAAGGGCAAGGTCCCGTCGTCGTCGTCGTATACCTAATGCCAGCCAGAAGTACAACGCGTAGTAGTTCTGCCTCGAGACTCTCGCGCGGCGGCCCAGAGACAGCCTAATTACTTTTAAATTTTCCTGTATTCTATTTTTTTTTTTTTTTAATACCGAAGTCATTGGCATAATTGCTACTAGTGCGCATATCTTAGTGCGCGAGCATCCAGTCTTTGCCTTCGTTTGGATTTGCCAGCGAGTCAGTTGGAGATAGTGCTCGTTGTTGTCGTTGTCGAGTTGTACCCGAGATAATATATACAAAGTGAGTTACTTTCGTTTCTTAGTTTTTTTTTTTTTTTAGAACAATGAGTGAGCTTATAATACTCTGATACTGCAGTAGAGTCACGAATGTGCTAGATGTCATTTAAAAATTCACTCATAGATTTTTTCACTTTTTAATGTACCCCGTATCTAATAATTGTTCGTCATTACCCCCTCCTCAGCACTCTACAAATTTTTTCTCTCACATTTTTCTCTCTCGCTCTTTGGAGTATACTCTCGTCGATTCAGAGCCTCTTCGATCGGTTGGCTGATCAGTCTCCCCTGTGCATTCGACTTTGCAGGTGTCCTAGATTGCTTCCCCAAAAAACCACCGTCGAGTCCGGGTAGATAGCAAAAGCCCGAGACGGCCTCGTCGTCGTCTTCAACAACAACCACCACAACAACGACCTCGTCGACTCGGCGCGCCGCCCCGAAGCTCTTCCGTCAGCAGCGCATACGTCGTCGTCAGCGGGTGGCACCGCAGCGCGAGCATGTCCGCTCAGTCAGTGGTGACTTCGGCGCCACCGGTGGAGGTTCGCGTGATCTCGGACACGATGATGAGCAATGAGCTGGACAACGAGTATCCGGATCACGCCAAGCTGCCGCCCAGCAATTTTCTCAATAGCCGCGGCAACGAGTCGTCGGGCACGCGGCAGCGGCGCAAGGCTCGCTCGACGCGTCGCCGCCTCAACGCCATGATCAACAACACCTCGCTGCACTTCTCCGACACGGACAGCGAGGGCGAGCTCGCCGTGCCCCGAGCCATCGCGCCCAACGGCCTGACCAACAAAGTCGTCGGCGGCGGTGCGACGGGACCCGCTAGTCTGTTGCAACCCGTGATATCCGTCACTCTGGACGGCAGCGGTGACTCCTCGTCGTCGAGACGCGGAAGTTTCATCGAGAATCTCACGGACGTCGACGAGATCTACCCGAGCGACTCCGAGGCCGACGGTGTCCGCAACAGAAGTCGTCGCGCCAGTTTGGCCGTGAACACGGGCGGAGTCGTACAGGGCGAGACCGACCTCGAGGACATCTCCAACGACGAGGAGGACGGCGTGGCCGACGCGCCGATCTACGTGAAGCCGCGCAACGACATACTCGTCGACTTCAACGGCGAGACCATCACCACGAAGGAGGGCGACGGACCCTTCTCCGTGGAGATCAGAAATCAGATGTCCATAGACGATCCCAGGCAGGATCCGGACGCGGCCGCCGCCGCCGCGGCCAACGCCCCGGACATAACCGTGGTGCCGACCACCGACAGCGAGGACATGGAGGCCTCGGACGACGACGACGATCTCCAGGGCGCCTGCGGACTGCCCACCTACGAGGATCTGGACATACTGGCCGCGTCGCAGATCGTCGTGTCGAGCAAGAAGGAGCAGCCGCAGCAGCTGCTGACGGTCGCCGAGCCCGACGATGGCGCCAGCGAAGGTCATACCGATGTCGAGGATATCGAATAATGCTCGAGATTAATATTTTATTCACGATGCGTGTAACGCATGTCTTTTATAAAAATGTTATAGTCTTTTGAAAAAAGATCGATTTATTCTTCGTGAAACATTTTTTTAAATAATACAGAATAGTCGTAAGTACAGCCGTTATTTCGATTTGAATGTAATTCAATTATTGAAAATCATCGTTATAATACTTCACGAATACATTAAATTTTTCGATTTTTAGTATTAATCATGATCTATTGAGCTACAGACCTGTCGTTCTCAATATTATTGTAATCAAAAACAGGAAAAAATATTTTCAAATGATACTTTATAACTAATAACTCCGAATTAAAAGATAGCCCATATTTATGTGTAATATAAGCCAATGAAATGTTGTCAATATCGATTCTTGATACTGTCGTATAATACGGCGATTATTTCATATCATTCTAATATTCTTAAGTATTTTATGATAATAGTTTTAATATTAAACGAAATATATTTCAACCGTTCCGACCAAAGAAAAAATTTATCTAATCAGAATCATTCTAGAAATGCATTATTTTTGTTACTACTAAAAAACTGTAACTGTATGGGATTTACAGGTGCTATGTCTATTTATGTCCATTGTTTAAGAGAAATAATAATAAATTATTGATCATATCTCTGTATGTAATTCTGAATAAAATTATTGATTATTTATACCCAGTGATAGATTGGTTCATATCTAGATATGCCAATTGAATTTTTGAATAACAATAATCCAATTCGAATTCGATTTATTTCAGATTCTTCATTTATTCTGCAAGACATCACAGCATCACCAGCACCAGAGAAAAAGACATATCCTGAAAAAAGGAGATTTTGGGAAGATATGGCCAAGAGTAAAAGAGAAAGTTTTCAGCGCAGCGAATCAGAAGTTTCCCACACATCGCAACTTACTTATCACGACAGTGACAGTGAATGTTTGAGTGAAGTTCGCGAACGAACCGAGGAAGAAATTGCAGCTGAGAAATTAGCGGAGATGAATAAAAGCGTTGACGTATCGCAATTCACAGTCGCCGAGAAGGCGCATTACTTCGAAGAAGTAATTCAAAAAGAAACGACAGCGGCAAGAAACTCGATAATAAGCCAGTCGTCGCAAGAATCTGGAAAAGCTGGTGGAATAAGGTTATCAGGTATTTCATTTTCTAGTGAAGATGAAAAAGATACCCTGGATAGAGTAGGAAAATCTCAAGAAAAAACAATACAAGAATTGAAGAAACATATTGCTGAAACAGCTGAATCGAAAGTTATTGTACAGCAAGAAGAAAAAACTAAGGAAACTAAGGAGATTAAAAAGGACGAAAAGAAAGTGGAAAAAATAGAAACGAAAAAGAGTGAAGTTAAAGAGACCAAAAAAGAAATTAAGAAAGAAGATGAAAAAGACAAGAAAAAAGAAGAAAAGAAAGACGAGTCAAAGGAACATGATGAGAAACAGAAGAGTAAGGACGAGAAAAAGACTGAACAAAAAGATTCAAAAAGTGAGATTAAAGCTGAGCCACCTAAAAAAGAAAAGAAGGAAAGTTTTCTTTCTAAAGCCTTTTTCGGAAGAAAAAGTGTTGATAAAGATGAAAAGAAAGATGAGCCGAAAAAGAGCTTCTTCGGTCGCAAAAAAGAGGATAAAGCCTCGAAATCGGATGCGAAAAAAGCAGCTGAAAAAGAGTCGAAATTAAAAGAAGATATCAAAACTGCTAAGACTGAACACGAGAAAAAAGAAAATATAATAAAGGCAAAAGAACAAAAAGTTGCTGACATTGTCAAGACTGAATCATCTGTACTTAAAAAAGAAACAGTAAGTAAAGCTGGAGACAATTTGTCGACTGGGAAAACGGACATGGAAAAAGAAAGTAAGGCAAAAGAGACGAAAATGCAAGAAAACGTTGAAAAGAAACTGCAAGAGGCAAAAGAAGAATTGCGAGTATCCATGTCTGAAATAAAGAAAGATGAATCGATCGAAAATAAACATAAGGAAACTGTAACTCAAATCACTGAGGAGTTAGATAAAGATAAGTCGACTGAAAAGAAATTGCAAGACGCAGAAACTGAAAAATCAAAGATTGACGCGCCGAAAACTGATTTACCTGAAAAAATAGTTCATGAAACTGAATCACACGTTTCAGAAACTAAAGCAAAAACAGAGAAGTTAATCGAAGGAAAATCATTAGATAGGGACATAAAAACAGATGTAACACATTTAAGTAAGGATGAATCCGAAAAACAAGAAAAGTCAGAAGAAAAATCTAAAAATAAAATTGCAGAATCGACGCCTGGTAAAGAAAAACTAAAACAAGAAACAAGTTCAAAACCCATTCCTATACAACAAAAGTCAAAGGATGAGAATCTTTCGAAATCACCACCTAAGAAAGGTACGATGTCAAAATCTCCTCCCAAAAAAGATTTGGTTTCTAGATCACCGCCTAGCAAAGACAGACCTCAAGATTTATTATCAAAATCTCCGCCTAAAAAAGATAAACCAAAAGAAGTAAAGCTTTCTAAATCACCACCAAAAACGGAAAAATTTTCTCCCAAGTCGGAGAAATCGAAAAATGTTATGGGATTGGAAGGAAAATCTGACAAAATGGAAAAAACACCCGATAAGAAAAAAACAGAAACAATCAGTACAAAAGAGAAAAAGGTCGAGGAAAAAGTTGATATTAACTTGGATAAATTGAAAACAGAAGGTGAGAAAACACTGATTGCAGCTACGTCTTCGGTGAAAAGCGAAACAATTACTACAGCAACTAAAGTTGATTCAGTAGTGATCAGTAAGTCGTCTGTAGAAAAAACTTCAGAAGTCAAAAGCATAAAAAGTATTGAAAAAACTGAAGAGTTAAAGGACGCGTCATCGAAAAAAGATCAAATACCTATTGTTCCTGATGTTTCCGCTGCAACGGGAAAAGTCGATCCCAATGTTTCAAAAGACACATCAGTGAAGAAAGATCTTGGAAAGGAAGTTATTCCAACGAATATTTTATCATCCACATCAAAAACTTTAGAAAAAGTCGGGGATGTTGATGTTCAGAAATTAAATCTTCAGGACACGGCCAAAAAGGCAGAAAATTTAATTTCAGAAGTTCAGACCAATGTAGCTGCTGTGGATAGTTTTGTACATTCTAGTATGAAAGAGGATCATTCGAGGATATCGCCTCCAAAAGATTTAAATATTGGAATGAAATCTCAAGATAAAGATATTTCATCTGATTTCTCATCTTCCCAAGAAATTAAAAGACCAACTTCTATGACTATACCTCTTGATTCACGACCGATAATGGCAGTATCTAGTAAACCAAAAGATAGATCTATAACTTCGATGCCTTCAACTATGATTACTAGAGATTTTGGTGCACCCTCTATCTCAAGGAGTAAACAAGCATCTCCGCCGAAAAATAAAAAACCACAGGCTCAAGATAAGAAAATAACAAAAGACAAACCTAAAGATAAACCCAAGGACACGAAAGCTGCAACCACATCAAAGAACGAAAAAGAACCAGAAAAACCTACTGCAGTGAAAAAGGAGCAATCTAAAGAGGAAATACCAATTAAAACTCCATCAAAAAGTGACAAAGCACCAGTGAAAGCAGATGTTTCAAAGCCAACTTTACTTAAAAAGGAAAAATCGAAAGAAGATTTACCAGAAAAATCTACGACTAAAACTGATAAAATCACTTCGAAAGATGATGTTTCTAAAACACTTACGACTAAAAAGGAGAAATCTAAAGAAGAAATTTCTGTTAAAACGCCAGCAAAAACGCCGGTAAAAGAAACTGCAGTACCTGGAGCGAAAAAACAATCTGAAGCTAAGACTATACAACCGGTAAAATCTAAATCACCTCCTAAAGGATCTCCACCGAAAAGTTCTCCGCCAAAAAGTTCTCCACCGAAAAGTTCACCTCCGAGAAGTTCTCCACCAAAAAGTTCGCCTCCAAAAAGTTCACCACCCAAAAGTTCTCCTCCGAAAAGTTCACCACCAAAAGTAGATGTTTCAAAATCATCTTCATCTACCACTGTTAAAAGAGAATCTTCAAAGGATGAAATATCAAAATCGATGATTCCTAAAAAAGAGAAATCTAAAGATGAATTTTCTCTGAAATCACCGCCAGGCAAAACAAAAACTGATGATGCTAGTACGATTCCTGTGAAACGTGAAGCATCGAAAGGAGAAATACCAAAGTCTATGATACCAACAAGGGAAAAATCTAAAGACGAAATCTCTTTAAAATCACCGCCAGGCAAAACGAAAACTGGTGATGCTGGTTTAATTTCTGTAAAACGAGAAACATCGAAAGGAGAGATACCAAAGTCTATGATACCAACAAGGGAAAAATCGAAAGATGAAATTAATGTAAAATCTTTGGCTTCAAAAACAGTTTCTAGCGTCACTTCCTCAAGTGTGACACAAGAACCAATGGATATTGGGTTAACGAAATCCTCTCAAGAACATAAAAAGAGTGAGGAATCCCCAATTTTGAGTTTACAAAGAGAAACTTCTAAAGGAGCTATTCCAAAATCAATGATTCCTAAACGAGAAAAATCGAAGGATGAATTCGTGTCAAAAATAGATGTAGCGGATAAAAAATCACTTAATACTGCTGCTACAACTACTACTATTACTACAGCTTCAGTTTCTATGAAAGATGAATCTCAAACAAAAGTAGAAATTAAAAATGATCAAATATTAGATCCGTTAAAACTATTAAAAGATAATGCAAAATTAATTGATTCAAAATTGTCAACGGTTGAGCAAACTAGTAAAATTCTAAGCTCATCTCCGGAAACAATTGATCAGAAATTCAAAGATTCTCCCCTTGCTTTGAAGAGACCTGATTTAAAAGATCCTAGATCATCAGAAGTTTCTATTTCAAGCGATGATGATAGATCATTGAGAGATTTTGAAGAAATAGAACGTCTTATCGAAGAAAAGGGTAAACACGAACCTTCACAAGTATCAACATTATCGAAAGCACCTTCTGGTCCAGGCCTACTGAAACACGATGCTCTATCATCAGTCAGATTATCAGGCGTCTCTTTATCTAGTGATGATGAGCGATCGCTCAAAGATTTTGAAGAAACGGAAAGACTGTTGAATGAAAAAATTAAACAAGAAAGTAGTGACTTATCTGATCACTCGATTTCAAGTGCAAAAGACAAATCGAAAATAGAATCTACACCATCTCCGCTTTTGAGAAGAGATGATTTGGCAACGGCCAGATCGTCAGAATTGTGCTTTTCAAGTGACGAAGAGAGATCGTTAAGAGACTTTGAAGAAACAGAAAGGTTGATTAAAGAGAAAGCCAAAAAAATGTCTTTCATTCCAGTCAGAGAAAAATCGAAAGAAGAAATCATTTTGAAGAGAGAAAAATCGAAGGGTGAAATTCCAAAATCAGCCGTACCTAAAAGAGAAAAATCGAAAGAAGAGTTTTCAATGAAGCGGGAAACTTCTAGGGGTGAGATTCCTAAATCATCTATTCCTAAAAGAGAAAAGTCGAAAGAAGAATTCACAATGAAACGGGAAACTTCTAGAGGCGAAATTCCCAAGTCAGCTATTCCGAAAAGAGAAAAGTCGAAAGAAGAATTTTCAATGAAGCGAGAAACTTCTAAGGGTGACATTCCTAAATCAGGTATCCCTAAAAGAGAAACATCTCAGGGTGAAATTCCTAAATCAGCGATTCCCAGAAGAGAAAAGTCAAAGGAAGAGTTCTCTCTGAAAAGGGAAACTTCAAAAGGAGAAATTCCCAAGTCCATGATACCGAAAAGAGAATCATCGAAGGGAGAAATCCCGAAGTCTATGATACCAAAACGAGAATCTTCGAAGGGTGAAATCCCTAAATCTATGTTACCGAAACGAGAAGCATCAAAAGGAGAAATTCCTAAATCTATGATACCAAAGAGGGAAAATTCTAAAGATGAATTCTCAATTAAAAGAGAGACTTCAAAGAGTGAAATTCCAAAGTCGATGATTCCTAAAAGAGAAAAGTCAGGAGATGAGTTTAATCTTAAACACGACTCTTCATCTTCTGATTCATCAAAAGCTGCTGAATCTCTGAAAAGAGAAACTTCAAAAGGTGAGATACCGAAGTCTATGATACCTCGTAGAGAACCTTCTAAAGAAGAAATTCCAAAGTCGATGATTCCTAAGCGAGAAAAGTCCAAAGACGAAATTGGATTGAAAAGAGAATCGTCCAAAAGCGAAATACCTAAATCTTTAATACCAAAGCGAGAAAAGTCTAAGGATGAAATTGCAATCAAGAGAGAAGCATCAAAGGGAGAAATACCTAAATCTTCAATTCCTAAAAGAGAACCTTTAAAAGGTGAAATACCCAAATCTTCGATACCAAAGCGAGAAAAGTCTAAGGATGAGATTGCAATCAAGAGAGAAGCATCGAAGGGAGAAATACCAAAAACTTCTATTCCCAAGAGAGAATCTTCAAAAAGTGAAATACCTAAATCTTCGATACCAAAGAGAGAGAAGTCGAAGGATGAAATCGGAGTTAAAAGAGAATCTTCAAAGAGTGAAATACCAAAATCGACGATACCAAAAAGGGAAAAATCCAAAGACGAAATCGGAGTCAAAAGGGAATCGTCCAAAAGCGAAATACCGAAATCTACCATACCAAAGAGGGAAAAATCAAAGGATGAAATCGGAGTCAAGAGAGAGGCCTCGAAAGGAGAAATTACTAAAACGAAATCCAGGTTCGATTCGCCAACGGCATCGTCCATGGCTAAACACGATAAATCTAAGGAAGAGACACCGAAAAAACTATCGGCACGGGAAAAGTCCAAAGAAGAGATACCGAAAAAATTACCAACACGAGAAAAATCGAAAGACGATTTACCCTCGTCGAAATCAATTGCCAAACGGCGCGACTCCAAGGAAGACTCATCGAAACCTTCTCCGAAAACTCCATCGAAGTCCACGATTTCATCGACCCGTCGCGATTCGAAGGAGGACTCTCCCAAATCCGTACCGAAGAGACCAACTTCTTCGCGAGATTCATCCAGATCGTCGAGTCTGTCCATAAGCGATAATACCTCGTCTCCAAAAACTTCGATAAAATCGGTAAAGAAAGAATCCGACTCGTCGTCGTCGACGTCAACGAGCGTCGACACGAAGAAACAAGCCGTAAAAGATTCGAGTGCGAGTGGTCCAAAAGAAGCCTTAACATTGTCCACGGATACAAGTGCCTTAAGCAATAGCGAATTACTATCGTTCGATACTGCCAAACAGATCTCCGACGTCAAGTTAACGTCGCAAATTGTATCTGGTGCTCAAAAATTACTGGATACTCAATTCGGTACCACTTCCATCGAAACGATCGGCAGCACAACGGTGATAACGTCGAGCGCGATGCAAGACAAATTCGGCGATACTTTTGATACAATGAAAACCGGCGCGCGAGAGCCCAAATTTTCCGAGAGCGAGATACTGAATTCGGGCTCGTCTCTGCTGGACGACACCACGACGACGGATCTCAGCTCGACGCGCGACAGCATCAGTTTCAGTCTCAGCGGTGACATCCTCACCCGAGACGAGTCTTCTCTGTCGTCTCAGGTGATTCAGGCGCCGCTATCAACAACAGCAGCAGCACCACCACCAGCCGCCGTCGTCGATGGGAAATTCGTCTCATCGCTGTCGGGAGCTCGAGTTCTGGAGATACTGGAGCCGGATCAGGACGGCCAGTCGAGACAGGACTCGATGGATATCTCGTCGTCGATCGAGGTCGACGACTGGAAACTGACGTCCGCCGAGTCGAGAAAGATCGTCGGTGGCAACGCAACGACGATGCACGAGAGTCCGGCCGTCGGCTCGTTGGATCGGCTGGATCGCGAGTTCAACGCCAACAGCCCGACGTTCTCCGAGGGTACGAACGTCGATTACTCGCTGCCGCATGACGTCAACAATACGAGGCTGGATTCGGGACTCGAGCAACTAGTGATCAGAAAGAAAACGGACTCGTTCGAGTTGGAGAGTCCGCCTCTGGTGTCGCCCAGATTGAAGGTCAAGGAGTTGGAGATCAAACCGGTCGAGTGGATACTGGGCGAGGAGAAGCTCGAGGTGAAGGAACATCTGGAGCCGTCTCAGGCGTTCGACAAGGAGCTCGACGAGTACCAGTCGTTGTTGGCCCAACAGCAGCAGCAGCAACAAGGTACCGAAGCCGACGGTAAATCGACGACCAAGCCCAGATTCACCATCGTACCGGCGGCCGAGCCGGACTTCGAGTTCGAGAAGGAGCTGGTGGAGAACAAGCTGGACATCAGCTGTCAGGAGCTGATGGACACGCTGCAGCGCGAGTACGAGGCCAAGACGCCCACCGACGACCGACTGGAGGAGATGGCCGCGAGATCGTTCAATTTCAGCATGACCGACGAGGATCTCGAGAGGGAGAAGTTCAAGGTCGAGGGACACAAGGTCGCCGTGGTCGGCGGCGATCTGATCAAGACCGCCGTCAACGTGATCGAGAGCGAGCGATTCGTTCGGCTTCAGGAGAGCGGCGGCGGCGGCGGCGGCGGCGGCGGCGGCGGTGGCGACAGTCCGATGGTGCAGCTGCGCGAGGAGCAGTACGACAGCTCGATGCAGCAGCAGCAATCCGACGATCCTACCAAGACGACGACGAAACCCACGCGAACCGAGCCACCGCGCGAGGGCAAATTCGACGCGAAAGCCAAGAGTCTGGAGGAGCAGAAGCGAGCGGAAAAGCGGGAAAAATCATCCTCGTCCCATCACAATACTTCACCGAAAACGAAGAAGGAAGATTCGAAGAGCGACAGCGGTGGCGGCGTCGTGGACATGAGCTCGAGATACGCCATCACGGTGCTCGATCAGGTGGTGAAGAAGGAGATCGCCGAGGTCAAGGAGAATCTCGAGGCCGCCAAGCAGGACCTGATCGAGGAGCTGAGCGCCGAGACGGGCGAGAACGTGGTGGGCCAGATCCAGGACTCGCCGTCGGAGTTTCAGCTGGTGGGACTGCAGCCCGAGTCCATACCCAACGAGCTGCCGTTCCTGTACAAGGCGCCGTCGAGCGAGCGTGTCAGCGAGTCCGAGAACTTCTCCACGACGTCGTCGTCGTCGCCGGTGGCCAAGCCCCGAAGACTCAGCCGTGGCGACGGCAGCTCGACCGAGAGCAGCTCCGAGACGAAGAAGATCGGCGGTGGCGGCGAGGTGGGAGCAGCGTCGACTCGTATCGCGACCAGTGCCAGCGAGGCCATCTCGATAACGCTGGACAAGGGCAAGGACAGCAGCGGCGGTGACTCGTCCATATCGGTGACGTCTCCCGTAGCCGCGAGCCGATCGAGCTCCGACGAGGCCACGGCTCCACCAGCAGCAGCGGCTCATAAAGACGATCACTCGTCGTTCTCTCTGCAACCGCCTCAACCGGCGCCTCGCAGACAGAAGCAGCAGCAGCCCACGTCCGAGAGCGAGGCCGACCTGTCGAGCAGCGAGAGCAATTATCAATCGCTCGACTACGATCGCAGCCACGGCAGTCGACCTTTGTCGGCCGACGTCGACGCCACCATGATCCAGTCCTCCTCGGAGTACGAGACGGCGATGCTCTCGTTCGAGCACTCGTCGTCCAAGGCCACGTCGCAGGACTATCTCACCGCGGCGCAGACCCTCAGCTCCAAGGACTCGATGAGGTCGGCGACGTCGGTGAGCTCGGGCCAGTTCTGCAGCCTCGACAGCGCCAGCGAGATCAGCGAGACGCTGATGGCCGACGAGCCCGAGCTCGACAAGGACGACATCGACGAGAATTTGGAAAATATCCTGGACGACGATGACGCGGTGCAGCAGGTGGTGACAACAACGGCAGTAGCAGCGGTAGCAGCGGGAAAGCCGGCGGCGGTGGGTACCGTTGAGGCTTCCGTTCCCAGTCTGATGAAACGCTCGAGCGAGATGATCTTCACCGAGCTGGTAAGTATTTCAGCGAATACTCGAGGAGATGTACGATATACTGAGAATTCATAATTTATTCGTTTACAGATCAGCCAAGTTTCATCGAACAAAGGAACGGTAGAATCAACGAAAACTGCCGCTCCCATCCCCGCTGCAACCGACTCCGCGAAAAACGCGCGTAAAGAAGCTTCACTTCAAAAAGACAATCCTCTGGAAACAACCAGTCAGATAATCGATCTAATCCTGGCCAGAGTAGAGGACACCGCCAACAAAAAATCATCGTCGTCGGCCTCACTGATAACGACGACAACGTCATCGAGCGAGCCGCTCGACAGCTTGAACATATTGTCGACGAAAAGTCACGATCCCTACTCGTTCGAGCCCGACTCGTTGGAGATAAAGCCGCAACAACAGCAGCAGCCAAAGTTATCGTCCTCGCTCGAGGACAACAACGTCATGTCGAGCTCGGTGACGAGCGACTCGGGCCTGACGCTGCAGCAGCAGCTCAGCATGACCTCGTCGTCGATGTCGGGCGTCTCGCTCGAGACCGTGATCGAGAAGGAGATCGATAACAAGTCCGACAGCGACTCGTTCGAGCTCGTCGATAAGCCGGATCTCATCGACGACTTTGTCGTGGTCGAGGAGGTCGGCCGCGAGGCCGAGGAATTCGACTCCGAAGGTAAAGTCGTCCACAAATCTTAAGCAAAAAAAAAAAAAAATTAAGCAACCGTAGGTTTAGAGTATTTATTTTTTATTATTTTTTTGTGAAAAAAGGCAAGGGAATCAGAATTAGCTCGATGCAATACACGAGCAACAAAAATTTCGATCGCGACGTGGAGAATCTGGTTATCGATAAGAAAGACACCAAAACCAGCGGTAGTCAAGCGCGCTCGTCGTCGTCGTCGTCGCGCGGCGTCACGACGCAGGAGCAGCAGCTCTTCGACTTCGACGCCGAGGACCAGGTGGAGAGCCCGCCCCAGGTGTCCGGCGGCGAGGACCAGGAGTACTCGCAGTCCTACTCGGACGAGGAGCAGTATCAGGAGGGCAGCAAGAAGTGGGTGGAGATGCAGTTCCAGCAGAACGAGGCGCGCCTCTACGAGATGGAGTACGAGCGCGGCGGCCCCCTCGAGGACATCAAGGAGGAGGAGATCGCCGACTTCGACGCGAGCAGCCGACTGGGCAGCCTCGGCAAGGAGTCCATCGGCAGCGTGGGCAGCATGCGCGGCGGCAGTTTCGGCAGCACGCCCGACAATTTCGAGTCGCTGGCGGCCAAGCGACTCTTCAAGGATCACGACAATCTGTCGCTGAGCTCGCTGCAAGAGTTCGAGCATCTCGAGACGGCCGTCGCGCTGGAGAACGTCAACAAGCGACGCGGCGGCGGCGGCGGTGGTGGTGCCGGTGGCGATCAGCAGCAGCACAGCAGCGGCTCGCAGGGCTCCTCGGCGAGCAACGGCAGTCTGCCGCGACGCTATCACTCCAGCCGATCGGAGCACGACGACGCCAGCGTCTCGTCGGTGCGCGACTTCGAGTCGTTGGAGGCCGCCTGCCGCGACGCCCATCAGATCGAGCTGCGAGCTCGCGAGGAGGAGGACCTGCTGGACAACGAGAGCCCCGAGAACAGATTCAAGCTGGAGAAGCTGGCGAGGATCATCAAGGCGGAGGCTGCTGGACAGGAGGGTGGCGGTGGCAGCGCCGCGGGCTCGTTCAATCCGAGCACCTCGGGCTCGGACGATTACGAGAAGCGCATCCAGGAGATCGATGACATCATCAGGATGGCCAAGGAGAACGTGCAGCACATCGACGAGCTGCGTCAGGCGGGCGGCGAGGAGGCCGGCGACGACGGAACAGTGACGATGACGACGACGCAGCAGTGGTCGAGCGTGACGACCATGAGCTCAGGTGCCGGCAGCTCGGTCACGGTGGTTCACGCGGCCGCGGGCGTGTCCTCGAGCTCGATGACGACGACGACGACTACGACGACGCAGCAGGTGCAGGTACTCTCGCCCGGAGCTTCGTCGCAAAAAGGTAGGTAGAGCATGGGTATAGATAAATTGAGTAAACATTAAATCTTGTTAATTGGAAGACGTGAAAATTAAATGTTAGCATTGAAATTAAATTAAATTGAAGAATGAAAAATTTATTTCGATAAAGAATAATGTTATTACATCAGAAAAGATATCCATAATTACTGCAAATTAGTTGGGGATTAATTTTTCATAATTTATTAGGACTTGGGTTGCATAAATCTGAATGCTATCTTTGACCAATTTGGGTCTTTAAGGTCTCAAACAGCTTGGTAATATAACATTCTCGTTGACGTAAGTAGGACCTTAAAATCATAACTCTTTATAGATAAATCCTGAACTAATTTTAATAATTAAATGTACTAGAGGCTTATTTCCGAATATCGAAAACAAAACACTCCACATTAAAATTTACTTTTCATATTTTTCAATAAACAGGATTGAATTCGGGTGGGTCCTCCTTAAGAAATAAAGAAAACGAATGATAAATAATTTTGTTCCTTTAATCTTTTGCGCGCAGCTTCATCCAGAGGATCGACCGAGCTGAATCTCATGGAGACCAGCACGGACTCGCTGGAGGGTACCGGCGCCCAGAACTATCAGAGCATCATGTGTCGCAGCTCGGACTCGCTCGAGCTCCAGAAGACCTTCAATCAGCCGTCGCTGAGCTCGGACTCGCTCAACAACGTCAAGAGTCCGTCGCGCGAGGGCGAGAAGCGCCTGAGCAGCAGCCGAGTGTCCTCGGACAGTCTTGAGTTTCCTGTGCAGGACTCGCAGGACTCGAGCTTGGGCGGCAAGGACAAGAGCAGCGCCAGCGAGAGTTAAATTTCGAGAAAGAAGTCGAAGGAGGAATGTGTTGGTACGAGTCACGCTTTTATATATATTTTTATTTTTATAAAAAAAAATTTCTTTTAATAGAGCCGGTGTGCTTGTATTTTTAGATAATGGACCACGAGGAATTTTAATAAAAAAAAAATAAAAACATTTTATAATGTTTACCAAACAGTCAGCTGAGAGATGATTCTTTTGAAATCCAATTTTATCGATGGAGAGAAATTGCTGCACATTTATATTATATTAACATATATACGATAAATGAAAAATGATCGAGGGAGAAACTATCTAGTCAGAAAAACCAAAGATACTGAAGTTTTGTTTGCCTTTCAACGGTGAAATACAGAACGACGCATTTATATACGTTTGAAATTAAAAATTTAAATGGAATAATAGCATAATTTATACATATTAGCTGTTGGAGCTTGATATCGACGTAAGTATTAACGGGAGACATAATTTTACATTGTATAAAATGAGTAAAAATCGCTGAAATACCATCGCTGTTTAAGAAACAAAAAAGACTCGCGATATTATTAACAAAAATATTATGTACTTGTCGTTTTTTGGACTGCTTGTTTGTGTATAAATAAAATTAATTAATAATAAATAAAAGAGAAGAGTAAGAAAAGAAGTTAAGTACTAGTGTCTATGTGTGTACGCGAAACAGAATTAAACGGAAGATGAAACAAATATAAATGAATTAAATAAAATGAAGCATATGCGCGCTGAGTGAGCTTTAAACTATACGCGTATATATATATATAATTTAGAGAATTATATATCGAAGAATTTAACGACGACAACGCTTGAATAAACGTTTTTCACCTTTTTTTTGTTTTGTGATACTTGAATGTCTAAATATAAATACGGCGCGAGGCTCTCGTTTTATATTGAAGCATTAATAAACGATTTTACGCTTTTGATCGCAGGCAGTAATTTTAAATATATATTAGACGCGGATAGGCCGATGATTATAAATGGAAAATCTTTGCAATTATGAAAATTAACGAGATACATAAATTTCCCCATCTCTCTCTTTACGTACGCCGTATATTATGATATACCTATATATAAATATACACGCGCATTAAATCGCTTCCTACGCTGCTAAAATTTATAGTTACATAAAAACAAAAAAAAACATTTGTACTCGTCGATGTGATATGTGTATTCGTAATGTGCATCGGTATACGTGTATAAGAATGATTTATGCGCCGAAATGTACTTTTTCTTTGTTGTTGTTGTTGTCGTCGTGCAGTGAGCGTATACAAGAGACATGATAATTAATTTAGCATTGTACTACGTGGTATGAGGTAAAATAATTCAAGTGATCGATGTCCGAGCTATCGCACTTTTTTTTCATTATTTTCTTTTCCTGAAGTTACTCGTTTATATTTTTAATACATATAATATTTGACGAACGGATAATCAGCGGCATGGCATATTATAATACGATAAGTTAATGGCTCGTTTCGATTTTTTATATTAAAAATAAGCGAAAAAAAGTGATATATTTACATACATATTTATGAACGTTCAAAGAAGAAGATGAAGAGCTCCTCGTCGGTATTATACTAGGATAATATACAGCGAACTAAAAATGCACACACACACTTGAAAAAAAAAAAACAGACACACAGGTCGCGAATGGAACGCTATGATTTGTATAGAGTGAAAAATTAATAAATGCACAACACTCGATGATCGAGCAGAGCTGCCGCTTCTGCTATCGATGAGAAATTTATATCGAATGACGGAAAAAAAAAATAAACAAATGATAACGAAAAAAGAGAAAAACGGCACAAGATCGCGTTCGCTTTTGACGTTTGGCGCTTTTTTATATATATTGATTATTATCATTATTGAAACTGAATATCATATATCGTACGTTAGAATGCCCGAAATCAGTCACACAAACTCGCTCGTATATTATAATAATTCACCTGTACTTCAGAGAGAGAGATCGCGGCGTGCGACAAAGAGAGAAAGAGATAGCATGAATAAAAAAAGAAGAAAAAAAACTCGAGCGATTTCTTATTATTATATTATAATAATACACTGTAATGATCCCACTCTCATCATCATCATCATCGTCATCAGGTTGATTATAATGAAGTTGATGTGTGTATGCGTATGTGTATCTCTACCCCCGCGCGCACGACGGTATATACATGTGACAAAATTTGTAATTCTGACATATATTATATTATATTATATATATTTGCGGGAGTCGCTTTGTGTACGTCACCTCCGGTTCATTGTTCGGGAATACGCCAAGGTGCCCTATCGACATTTATCTTTAATGAAACACACACAAAACAGAAAAAAAATTAAATTAAAAAAATATTATAAATATATTATAAATATTATGGAAAATCTATTGCGTTTGTATATCGTCATGTTTTATCGGAATGCTAATTGTATGTTTCTTCAAGTTGTATGATAAATATATAGTGCTGTATTAAAAAAAAGGCATGTTTTATAAGCATTTCAAACTAATGCGCATTGTTTTTTTTTCTCCTTCCACCGTTCGCCTCTCAATTGCAACCTACATGGCATATATTATCAAAATTGTTTCATAACAAATGTCGGCTGTTAAATAATTGCGATGACAATTTCGAAAATAGTTACAATGTATTTATTCCAAAAATAGATTCTTCCAAGATTTTTAACAAAATTTCATTGATATAAAATATCGCTCTTATCGATAAAATCAGGTAATTCGTGGGTGAGCCTTAACGTACTATCGTTAAATTTACATTGATCGGATTAATACGCGATTATAAATGTACCAAAATACAATTATACAAATTATAGATCGAATTACAAAAACTTGCGCATTGAATAACGCCGTATTATATTATATACAAAAATATTGCGGTCATTACAAACGAAAGAGAGAGAGAGAGAGAAAAAAAAGTTTACACTCACAGCTTCGCGTATAATGCGTAACAACTACGAACTCTTAAAGCTATTTGCGATAAGAAAATCTAGATCAAGCGCGATTATCATATAGTCCTTTTATGTAACGAAACATACATTATATATATCTATCGTATACGAGAGAATAAAAGCGGAGGGGTCGCGCGTGAGTCTTACGTAATCGCGTTGGGCTGTTTTTTTTTAAATAATAATTACTATCTATATGTGTGTATTGCACTTTGAAGGTGTGTCGATTTTAGAAAATTTTTATCAAAAGCAACGAAGTGCGGGCTAATGCATAATTATATATCATAGAGTTCAATTCGATTCCGCAGACTAGAAAAATATTTTTCTTCGGTTATTGTTATTATCGTTAATATCGTTAATTTTTTCGTCTCCTTGAAAACTTAATCGTACAGATATAAAGATAATTACAAATTAATTACTTCGATAATTGCACTACTGAAACTAAGTTTTTATAATCAATGCATCCGATAGAGTCGCTTTACTGGCCCATTATATATAGCTTAGAGCTTAAATAGTACGTAATGAAAATTTTTGTAAAAATTATACATATCCCTTGCTCGAGCGTGTATAGTGATATTAATAATATATTTGTACATTTTTTCGCATCAGGTTTGCCGAGAACTCGTTTGCTCGTTCCCAATTCATTCATATAGATCTGAAAAGGAGAAAGAAAAAAATCGGTAAAAGTCTATAAATAAACCATACGTACGATAGAGAAATAAATCAAAGAGCACTTTACCTATACAGAAGCAAGGGAATAGGATACTACACAAATGTTATGCAGAAAAAAATAACATCCGATTTTCTCCTTCAGTCGCTTGTTTTTTTTTTGTTTTTAACGTGTACTCTTTTACGCCGGCCGATTTTTTATTCTTTGGCCGGCTGAACCGCCGCCCTGGACTTGACGATGTCGCAGATCCAGATGCAGCAGGACAGCGCGTAAACGTAGCTGACGAGCTGGCTCTGCTGGTCGCGCAAAAAGTACAGATAGGCGCAGCAGCGGGCCAGCTCGAGCAGACCGGCTATCCGCGATCGATCGAACAGCAGGCCGATCGTCGTCAGCGCCGCGACGTTGTTGACGATCATCGCACCCGTCAGGTACTTGTGCGCTTCCTGTAAAGTAACAGAAAAAGATAGATGGTGGAAATTTATCATACGTGTCGATAAATGGAAAATTAATGTTTTTTTTTTAATGTACTCACGATGCTGTGATCGTAGAGATGCGAATGGGCATACAGAACTAGGCAGAAGTGAAAGAGTATGTAGCAGCTCTGCCAAGTTGGAATAACTGGATCGTACTTGATTCGAGATGTGACCTGAAGAGTTGACAATTTATTGTAAGAGAAAAGTTATTTTATAATTTTTTTATCATTTATAATTGTACTATTTTTAATCTATAATGGGTTTTGGGTAGTTGTTTTAACGCTACTAATTTGTACTATCCCTGGTAGAAATGCTCAATATTCATTGCGGCCGAATAACAACAATAAAAATGGCTACTTAAAATGATTCAAAGCTCGTAATCATCAATTGGCTTGTTTTTGGCAATTTTATACTATAATAATTATATGTCAAACACATTTTACATGACTTAAAAATGACACTGAAGTTTTCAATCGCTTTGAATGCGATGATACCATGTTGAGAATCCACCGCTAGATGGCGAGCACCTTTATTTTTGAAAATCTACAAGTGTCAAAGTCAAAATAATTGTATAAGTCAAAATACGGTTTCGATTAAACAGTTAGCTCGCTGCTAGATTTTATGGGAGTCAAGTTGCATTACGAGGTGCAACCTCGTTGAGAGAAAATTAAAAAATAACGCCGGAAAGGAAAAAAAATACGATGAACCATTAAAAACACGTTTTTCTGATCGCGGTAAACACGGCAATTTTATAGTACACGCGATGCCTACAATTACGAGTCGATCGATTCTTCCAAATCAGAGCCGAGCGACCGACGCACCCTCCTAAAAATCGTGTCAAAGGACGCGCGCATGGCGAGTTAATAATAATATTATACGCGCGCGAGTAACGAGTGCAAAAATTCCTAACATTTGCAAAAACCGGTTTCGTACGTGCATGTATCTCGGCAGGCGACGTTACGCATTGAACGTTGAACTACACACCGATAGAAATTACGCGCGACACGCGTTTTATATAGCATAAAAAAAACGAGATGATCGTGCATATCGATGACCATCGTCGTGGCCAAGTGCATCTTCGTCGTAAAAAGATCACACGCTATACCGATGAATTAATTAATATCGCTATATTTTACAATACCGATCGTCGTGGCTCTATGAGTACTTATACTACATTGACTAAAATTCATCTCGTCGGCGTCCTCGATTCGTGGATTCTTTTGAATTATATCTCGACATCCTCGCGCGCGCTTAGATGAAAGAAGTATAACCATGAGCTACTTTTTCGCGGGTATAAAGATCGTCTCATTTCAAAAATATGCTTTTATAGATCTGTACACTCCGCTTTTAGTAGATAACCGATTTTTTTCTCTCTCCTTCTTCTTCGTTTTTGTTCTATAAAATGCGGCGAGAATATCTTATCTCCCTACGTACGTACGCCGCGCTATGCAGTCCATCATTGTCGGTTTTCTCGCGCGATCTTCGCTGCCACCGTCGTATCTCTCGTATACGCGCGCGGATGCAGCGATTCATTCAGTTTGAGTGACTCCTCTCGTTCGTTTTCTGTGTATATCAATGTGGAGCTCGCGAGAGAGATTACAACTTTTTCTCACTTTGAGCGCGGATCGCTTTGCCGAAGGATAGTGGAAAATCGATACGTTTGTTGATTGACGTTTGCGTTCGATGTATTGAAATAATGTATGTATGTGCTTACGTTAACTTTGAACTCGTCGAGGCCGAGTCGCGGCAGTCCGGGCTTCCAGCTTGGGCCTTTCCAATACACGGCCAACTTGTCGCTCAGGTTACTCATGCTCAGACTGTTGCGGATCATTCCCAGCGCGTAGAATACCTGCGCGCGGTCGAACGAACAAAAAAAAAAAGAAAGATTAAAATTCAATTGCAGACGAGACACGAGAACAAATTTCAAAGGAAAGAGCACGAGCGCGCTCGTGCGTGTACATTTGTAAAAAAAAAATAAAAATAAACAAAAAATAAACAAAGTATAAAATTACGAAGCCGCGCGCAGTCGAAAAGTCTCGTGAAAATTACTCGTGGAATTTCATCATATTTATACACGCCTAATCTTCGTTTGCATTCTGATTTTTTTATCACCCGCGCGCGCCGCCGCCACCGCGTTTGTGTTATTTGAGATTTGAGAGAAAAAAAAAAAGAAAAAGAAAGAAAAATTTTGCGCCTCGTACAAATTGCATAACTCATATATAACGTATTTGTGATAATATTATTGTATCGTTGTATTGTATAAATATTACCTGAAGATATAGCGGTTCGTACGACTCGGGACTGACTACCAGCCCGTAAATGATCTTCTCTTTGGGCCTCTCCGTGGCGAAAGTGCCGAAAAGTCGATCCCAGACGATCAGCACGCCGCCGTAATTCGTGTCCAAGCAGTAAAGATTGCAGCCTGTGTGCGTAAAAAATCATTACACGCTATTGAGCATGATTAATTTTTTAATTTAAAAAAAAAATTGAGGATTAAAAAAAGGTGAAAAAGAAGAAAACGTTGAATAAATTACGATCGAGTTTGTTACTCTCCGCTCCGTATAATCCGTTGCTTCGCGTCGTGTACTTTTTTTTTATTTCCTCGCGCGCGCAATTTACAACTAATGGCATCGATTAGATTACACGTAATATATATTAACGAAAAAAAAAGAAAAACAAACGACGAGCCATCAAAGTCCCGCGATTACACGGCTTACGATTAAAATAATTACCGTGATGCACTCGATGATGCTTGGGCGTGTTGAAGACCAACTCGAGCGGGCCCAAATCCTCGATGACGGTCGTGTGTATCCAGAGCTGATAGATCAGATTGAACTGGTGATGCGCGACGAAGTGCGAGGGCGGTATGAACAGCGCCAACGGCAGGTAGAACATCTGCAAAAAAGTTTTTGTTGCGTTGAGCTCAAAAATCCTCTTTCTCACGCGCGCGCGCGCGAGATGTTCGCGCGAAAAATGGGGATCCGTAAATAAACACGAAGAGAAGAAGGGAAGACAAAAAAAAAATTATTTATATCGGCTTTCATTTCTGTAAGACAAAACTTGCAACACGATCTATTTTACGCGTTGCACAACGCGAACGCGATGCGAGCATTTATGTATACGCATACGTGTGTGTGTGTGTGTGAGTTATACGGGTATATACTTACGAAGCTGCACCACTGCTGGAGTATCGACTGGCGTAGGCCGACTACGAGATTGAATTCCTCGCTGCTGTGATGCACCTGATGGTGCGCCCAGAGAAACAGCACCTCTGCGTGCAAAAGGAGACGAAAATAAAATTAATAAAAAAAAAATCGAGAAATCGGTAAATAAAAAAAAAGGAAGAAGCCGATCGGCAGGATTAAAAGTTGATGTATAATGGCGCGATACGCGCGAGCGATGCGTGAGAACGGCGCGCGTTTTTCTTTTTATTTCGCGAAATTCAATATATCGTCGCGCGAATATATAAGTCGGAAATGTCACCGCTGATGGATTTGAAATTCTCGCGTGCATAGTAGCGGATGATTACGTGCTCGTTCGCGCGCGCTTCATAGCAGGTTTGTGTGTAACGATTTTTCGATCGCGCGATCGACGCCGTCGTTGATTAATTCGAGGATTTCTCATTTCGCGGCAATATTTTTGAAAAAAAAAAAACCAGATTGTCGGCATTTGAGTCATTATTATTAAGCGCGAACCGATGCCGTGTGAGCCGTTTCACGTACAACGAAGATGCAAATGAATGTATACCAAACGAACCGTGATTAGCTCGATGCACCCAGTAGTAGCAGAAGTCCACGCCGATCGCCGTGGCCCACCAGGTCCAGGGCGAGTCCCAAGCCAGCTCCCATAATCGGAATTTTTCATAGATCGATATGTAGAGGTAGTACTCGGCTCCGCGAAACAGTATTCTATAACGAGAGAGATCCCATATGATAAACATTGATATGATACATAAATAATAAGAGCTACTCTACGAGCACCTTGACCTTAAGCGCTTCTTACATCAACCCCGATTTCCGAGATCGGTATACGTAAAAAAAATCGGTTCCGCTATCGTCCACATACATTATACGGAGTAAAGGAGTTCTATACGTTTCTGGAAGTCTTGACATTATTATGTACAATTTATAGTCGGAAAATAACGAATCGCGCGGGTAAAAAAATGTTTAAAAAAAAATATCGAAGCTGTTATGACGATCTCGGCCGCGCGCGAGCGCTCACTTGAGGTCACTGAAAACCTTCAACATTATTTTTAGATAAAGCTACAGAGAGACAGTTAATTAAAAAAGACTATGTAACAATTTATGTAAGATTATTCAAATAACCCATGAGCGCGCGCGTTACACATTATTACATTCGTGCCGTGCGCGCAAGCAAAGACTGTAAACGGTTAAAACGTCGAGTTTAGCTCATTGGCGGGTGCCGATAAACTTTGAAGAAAAAAAAAATCTTCGGAGCAAGAGAGAAAAAAATTGTTGCGCACCAACCCCCCTCGTCCTCGTCGTCCGTTTGTGGAAAGAAAGAAAAAAACGGCGGCGCGAGCGCGAGCGCGATTCGATAAGCGACCGACACCAAGGATTATGAGAAAATTGAATTATATAAGCTAACATTGAAAAACCTCTAATGGATAATTATTTTATCAATCGCCTATACATTAATAAACGCCTCGTAAAACTGTCGGGATTCGTGGGCCCGTGTGCACTTAACGTATTAATGGATACATTATATTTATTTGCACAATGTCAAGCGTGTGCAGCCCGATGTTGTTGTTGTTTTTTTTTTTGTTTTGTTTTACCTACGCTTACCGTCCAGTTTCCTGCAGGATCCAGTGCGAGAGCGAGTTCACGTGGTCGTTGAGCCGAAAGCTGGCCTCCTTTTTGGCGTAGAGTATGGCGTTCTCCAGGAGGATGAGGACGAAAAACGACAGCCACACCTGGGAGAAGGATGCACCAAAACAAACAAACGCACGCACGAGTCAGCACAGAAGGGGGGGATGATTTTAAAATTTTCAAGCGCAAATTTTTTTTTTTTCTAATATTTTTCTACTCACTTGGCTCTGATAATCCGGCACGTCCTCCAGCTTCTCGAAGCTCGACTCGTACGGATTGACGAGGTAGAGCAGCATACGCGCGTTGCTCATGCCGTCGAGCAATTGTCGGCCGAAGCCGTCGTAGTACTTGCTCGCGTTCATCCTCGCTTTTTATTACAGATATATTGTCTTTTACAGAAAAAACACACCGTATCAAAGCACACACGTGAGTCTTCTGTCAAAAATGAACCACACACACATCAGCACACGAGCACACATGCACAGACACACGCACACACGCGCGGGTCGTCGCCTGGCGTGCGTTGGCAGCCCGAGAGCAGCAACAGCGGCAGAGCACAACTTCTATATTATTAATTATATATGATACTGCAGCGGTGCGTGTGTGATACTTGTGCTTTTATAGCGGCCGAAGTAGTAGCAGCAGCAGCAGCAGCAGCAGCAGCGGTGGCAGTAGCGGCAGTCGCAGCCGCAGCAGCAGCAGCTGAGAAGACGAAGACTGCATAATGACTCGCTGGTGGTGGTGGTGGTGGTGGTGGTGGCGGCGGCACAACGTCAGCGACGACGATGACGATGTTTTTTAATATCGTCGTTGATCTCGATGTTGATGATGACTGATTGTTTATATTTTAGGCTGCGTCAACCCTTTAACACCTGTCAACGAATGAGTTGTCCATTATTAATATGTATCAACGTTGAAAAAAAAAAACTTAGCGACTATTACAGAGAATTTCGCCGTTTTGGGCAATTATTGAATTTTTCCAGTCGTTATATATCCATTGAGACAGACTTTTTTTTTTTAGAAAAAAACAATTTTATATGCGTGTGTGTACTTTGCGCATTTTTTATACATATATACGAGAGATACGCGAGCTATTATATATCGCAGTAGTGCAGCTATATATTACATAAGCGCGGCATTTAAACCAGCGCGACGACGTATAATTACAAACGTTTGTATCGGTTGCACACATTTTTTTGCAGCCAATTTTCACCTATAAGCGTGCAGTGTATGATACCCACGCCCAAAAACGATCTATTTTTTTTTCTTTCAAAGTAACTTCTCGAAATAAATGACAACTATACGATTAAAAGTAGTGCATAGTATTTTTTTCTCTTTTAATAGTTCAATCGATCATTCTCTATTTATCCCGAATTAATACAGATCATCGTTTGTATCAATTGTTAATCGCTCGAATTACGATTGTACACATACACATCGCGATCGTCTCTCTCTCGGCAGACAGACACTGATGTTAGCGATGTTTATTATGGCGTCATCCCGCTCGGTTTTATTTGGTTTTCAAATGATTGCTCGGCTTACGAGCTTTTAATATTTTCACAGCGAAGAAAAAAAAGAAGTAAAAAAAAAAAGAGAAGAAGAAGAGCTCGTAAGAAAAAAAAAGTTTGCACTCGCGTGCGCGCGTCTATAATATATGTGTGTGTACGAGAGAGCGAGAGCGGCTGATCTTTGATCAATTACCAATACAGTATGTAGTATATAAGTATCAATGACCCAGTGTGCAGTGTCGTCGGTGGCTCTGCTGCTGCTACTACATGCGTAAAAAAAAAGAACGTGAATCATATATAAGTATTTAATATATACGGAGCATTATCGATGATAAACGTGCCAATTCTAATTGTCGTCGTCGTCGTCGCGGCATCGCGATGCGTGCGTAAGTCAATGCTCTTTATCGAGACAAATGAGAAACTCGTGTTGGCATTAATTTTTTTTTTCTTTTATTGTTGTTGTCGTTGAGTACGCACGTCGGTGCACGCACTCGTACTTAAAATATAGGGATCTGCATGTTTGTATCTCGCGCTCGCGCGCGTAAATTTCGCTCTCGAAATCGTTGTTTTTTTTTTCTTCTTCATTTTTTTTTTTTTTTTTTTTTTTTTGAAAATTGCTACCTTGTGCACCGAATGACTTGCGTATAAACGCAAAATATAAAAGTCACATACGATCGTGAGATGTGTTGTGTTGTTGCGCGCGGAATGGAAAAATATTGTTGTTTTTGAGGAAGTTCGAGAAACTGCAGAAAACGAAGTTGTAACGCATAATGAAGTCACGTGAAGATAATTAAGCCCGAAAGCGTTTCAGGTATTACGAATATAGATACATTGTAAATAAGATGCCTTTTTTAAATTCAATTTAATGTACGTGTCAATTAAAGAGTCGCTTAAATATAGAATCAAATTCGAGAGACTCGGTGCAGGATCGAGAAATTGCTCGGTAAACTTTTGTACGAATGTATATGGTAATATGCATTTCGATGCATTTAATTGAAAAATTTTTCAAAACAAGATAAACGCTGCGGCCGCGCGTCGAGGTATTTATCGCGCGTAGTATATATATCGCGTGTTCCTCGCGACTCGTATACGTACATATGAATCAAAGAGCAAACAAAATATCTTCTGCAAATATTACGCTATATATACAGGAGAATAATGTACGCGCGGTGCGGAGTCGTGCTGCTAAAATTAAATACGACCGCTGCAGACTACATCATGATGCGGATCGTTGTAGTTTTTTTTTTGCGAGTGCGAATTTTCTTACATGCAAATAATCGAGTCGACGGAATGATTTTTTTTTGCACAAAACTGAAAGCAAACAACGACTGCATTGTCGAGTCGTTTCACGATCGTTTCTCTTGGAATGTCATTCCATCAATTTGTTACATATGCTGAATACAAATGAGCAATTTCTTCAAAAGCATTTTCTATTATCGAAATTAAACTCACTATAAAAAGTAAAAATATGCCCGAGCTTTCGAGTAACGCAAAGAAAAATCAACGAAACCAGCAAAATATACGCACCCCTTTGCACCACAGCTCCATGCAGGTCTTCGCCCACGAAGGTCGTGCACTTGTCTCTCCCTTCGGCACAAAAATAAAAAAATAGGGTGGAGCACTCGCGGTTTCATACATAGACAACAAAAATCTTCGAGTGCGCGTCGGTGCATCGGCGTCAAAAAAAAGCCGGCGGTGCGAGTCGACGTCTGCTGCTACTCGCGAGCTGTATACTCGCTGACAGCAAAAGCAGCAGCAGCGCTTGCGTCGCCGACGTATTACCGAGTATCATACGAGCGAGCCTCCAGAGAGGCACTGCGAGAACGTGTGTTTACGTATGCGTGCACGTATTAAAAATATTTTTGTACGCGAGCGAGCACACACGATGCATATTCTGTATATATAGTGCCACACGCGTGTGTCACGAGCGCCGCTCGATCGTCCGATACCGATTTATACATTACATTATTATTAAAAGTATAAAAGTCGCGCGATATCGACACGACTCTCGATTTAATATTAATATTATAATATTATAATCGCGGTGCGAGTTACTGTTGCTGCTGCTGCACACGACGACGGCAGGCGTGTTTAAGCACGGCTTCGGCTACTGCTGCTGCCGCTGCCGCTGCGGTATTATTATATAAGAAGCTCAGCTGCACTGCAGAGGCCTGCACGACAGCACGCACACAGATGCATACGCTCAAACACGCAGACGGACGGATGGACACACGCGTACTACAGAGATCGGTATACGTTTATAGTAGGTACACATAAGCCTGCGTGATTAAAGAGTCTGTATTTTGATGCGTTTACAAGTGTAGGTAGGCTTTGCGTGTGGTTACAATAATGCATTATATATATATCGTACATTGTGTACTCGAGGAGAATACTAAAACGTGCCACATGCACCAAGTAACGTCTTTCGACGAGAGGCATACACATACATTAGATATATAAATATGCCAACTCGAATCAAGTGCAACGTATATATTGTGCAGCAGGCAGTTTCAGAATACACACAGACATATTCACGGCACGCTATCGCGCGAACGAGCGGAAAAGAAAGAGAGAGAGAGAGAGAGAGAGACTTTGTAAATTTGCCAACTAAGCTTGGCTTTGACTCGCGAGGCGTGCTCTAGTTTTGCTCGCTTTGCTCAACACCACCGCACTTCATTTTTATCGACGCGAGTGCATCATCGCGCCGCCACTCTGCTTTTTTTCATTTTATACACTTTTTAAAAAGGAGTACGCGCTTGCGATATCGTTAGAATTAGCCAAGACCACACGGGGGGCGGCGCGCACACGCAGAATTATAGTTTCATCGCGATCGTTATCGCTCGGCGAGCCGCGTTTGCGCTAATTATTTCCGACCGTCTTTTTTTTACTCCCTCCTCCCAACGTGATTTTCTTCGATAATTAAGCGTTTACGAAAATTTGCGCGAAATAATCGCGCAAACGCGCGCGACATGACGCAAAAACATGGCATTGTTGCAGGCGATTGCACCTTCCTCTTTCATCTTGTTCTTCTTCTTCTCGATCGTCGTCTTTTTGTCGGAGATTAAATGCGGAGCAAATGTATAATAGCCGCGTTTATAATTACGAATGACGAACGATGAAAAATTTCTGACGAAAATCGGTAATTTTCTCGTAGTTGTTTTTCTTTTTTATCATCGTCGTCGTAGTCTCGTTGCGTTTGCGAATAATCGATGGAAAAATTTTTGGATAAAAAGGCGAGTAGCCGGGTGTTAACAATGACGTCGACGAAATATTTGCCAAACCCGAGAGTCAACGTTTGTCGGCAGATCGAAGACGAAGAGATGAAAAAATAAAAAGGAACAAACAAAAAAAAAAGAACGAGGAGAATTATCGTTTCGTATTATAATTGACACGTTTGACAATGCGCGCGAGCGAGCCAGCGTCGTAATATGAAAATGATAGGCTTTCGCGTGCACACGAGACTATACGCGCACGAGCTTTGGACGATGATGATGCCGTCGCTGCTGCCGTTTCTGCCTACTTACGCATTCTCGATTCGAGACGAGACTATAATTATAAAGCGTTACATATACGTTGTGTACTATTAAAATACAAGAGGACTCACTCGGAAGATTTTGCCCCTCCTGATTATCTAATGTGTGCGATCGGCGTACACAACTGGCAGAAGTGGTCAAATATTTCAATGCTAGTTTTGGAGCTGGTTAGAGAAAAGAGTATTTTGGATGTAAAGGCTTCACTAGAACTGGACATGCATTGACCAAAATGTATAATTTTTTATATTTTAGACATGTGAAACGTCAATTAAAATGAATTTTTCAATTTGTACAGACAAAGAAAATCGATGAGTACCTACAACAATAATATTCATTTCTAATATACAATTATTTTGACTTTGCCACTTGCAGATTTGTAGGTAAAAGTACACTCGCCATCTGGCGGTGATGGCTCAAACCAATATCATTGTATTAATCGAGGTATCCGAAAAATCGTCTACAATTTTTGAAACAATCAAATTGTTATCATCAGGCTATTTAAATTTCTAAAAGCAAACAATTTAAAATTCATCATTTCAGAATGATAAACTTTAAAGCGTTTCAAACTATCAGTTTCTAATTAACCTGGCGCATTATTATAATGTTGTGTAGAGCACGCAGGATCAACGTAAGTCCGCGGAAAAATTTACTCGCGCGCGCGCTCGTATTCGCGTGAATTTTCGTCACGTTTTTCGCGTTACAGCGTAATATTATGTACATCAATAAGAGCCCCCTCGCGCGCAAGATAATAATTTAAGTTATCGTGGCTCTTTATAATATTGATACTCACCGCCTATATGTATGCATCTTGGGCATATTTCTCACGCGACGCTCGCACACATCGTCGTCGTCGTCTTCGTTATATAATTATGTACATGCATTATTATATGTATGGCACTGCATCTTACAAGAGGGAGAGAAGAAAAGCCTATACCGATCACTCGACTCGGACGCGATCGTAAATTATTTTCATGGGTGAACTTCTTCGAAACTAATATCGCGACGATTATTATTGATGACTCTCGGCTCTCAGAGATCGCTGGAGAGACAGAGACAAAGGCCTGTATATCTATAACAATGTATCACTGTACCATTCCAACAATTCCAATCGAAAAAGAGAGCACTACTATATATGTGTGTGACGCTTTGCGAGTACAAACGCGCGGCTCGTGCTGTACTGGTGCACGTGCACACTGCGATTCGTCCGTGGAGCGACGTGAAAAATTTGCATCGTAATCGTTGTTTCTTTTTTTCGCTCTCTCTCTCAATGGGCCGCGAATAATCGCACTTATCGCGCGTATTTTTCTTTTTTTTTCTCTTGCGCGATTTATAAATTCGTAACGATTTCTTCGACGATCAGCTGTATAATCACTCGCTCGTTGAAACATGCAACATCGTTCACGTGGGCGCCCCGTTCGCGACTTAAATCATAATGCAGCCGTAAAAATGAAAAAAAAGTTTGTGTAATTTTTCTGCAGCTGAGATAGCGCGCGAACATTTATACATGCGTATGAATAACGACGCGATGTCGTATTTCGCGAGAGTGAGATTCTTTTTTGACATATTACGCATGATGTTTACGAAGAATTATATATGCACCGTAGCCGCAGCAGTAGAAACTCATCGAGATCGGGGGGCCAGGCGATAAGTTTCCAGTAATTTATTTCACATTATCGTGCGGCAGTACCGATTTTTGTCGATTCTCATCTTGCGCGTCGAGAGCGTATACATCTTGAGCTCTGCTGTACATACGCATCGTTTATCATTTTCTTGACTGACGCATTGAGCGTAAACACCAGCATTATAACGTTCGATGCATTGTACATACGATTGTAAATTTACATCTCGGAGTTGAGCGCGAGAAAATTCGCGTATGTATTCGAAATTTTTTATTGATATAACAATGACTATACATTTGCGATGGCCTAATGATCAAAGTTTCACCACTTGAAATATTTTAAAACGTGTAAACATTAATTGGCTTGTTTTTGGAACTTTTCGCGTTACAATTGTGTTACAAGTATTAAGCAGATTTCAAATTTAAACCTCCACCGCTAGATGGCGAGCACTTTCAAATCTGTAAATCTGCAAGTGGCAAAGTAAAAATAATGGTATTTATGGAAATCTATCTATACATAGTACCAAAACTGTGCAAACGATGGGTGTTTTTAAATTAAGTGACCCACCGGCACTTAGATCGTACGTGAAACAAAGTGGTTATCTGTACTCGTTCGATTGCTTCTCGTCTTCCATAATCGGTAAATGCACCGACAATATATCAACCTGGAATACACGCAAAACAAAAAGATAAATAGCTTTACATACTATTTTTCAATAAGAAGTAGACACTTTCCGAGCTAGTTTAGAAAAAGGCCATGGGTAAAACAATTGCTACTCAATGCAAAGCTGTAAAATCGTTATAAAAAAACGTAAAAAAGTCAATCATTTTCATGAAACTTTCAGATGAATCGCAACCTCAGTGTAGGATTAGAAAAAATGATAGCCCTTATAAATTAAATGGTTTCCAGGTTGGTTAAATGATAAAGCACCGAACACGACAGCTGCAAGCAGAGGTGTAATGATAGTTTATAGCACGAGTTTTTGTTGAATTTTTATTGAAATTTTAGTAAAACATCTATATAAGAATTTATATATATATTTATAATTGTCAAGAAAGAAAATGAGCACTTATCATTAGATCACTGATAAAATGAGTGATATTATCTGAGGAACTATTCGAAAAATATGACATGGACAGAAAAAAACTTGATTATAATCTATCGTGAGATTGAATGTACATTTGGGCATATTAGCGGTCGCGAGAAAAAAGCGCTTGAACGATTTTTAAAAAGTTGTTGGTAAAGCAAACCATTAAAAATATTTTTTAATAAGTTGGAGAATTTATGCCTTCTCACAATCGTCGCGTGCGAAATCTTAATGATCCTCGGGGACTGTCCTTTGATGCAAAAGCAGATGCTGTTTCGCTCCTACTTTTTTCTCGCACTTATTCACATGCAAAAACTTTGCAACCTTCGTGTACTGTTGTGCTTCAAAAAAGTTCATTTACTTCCAAATTTCTTCTCACAATTATCAATCGTGTAATCTTACAAACTTTCATGTACTGTTTTTTGATGAAAGAGTAAATTACTCTTGATCCCGAACTTTTTTTCGCACTTGTCGCATGGATAATCTTTCCGGCCTTCGTGAACTGTTTCTATATGTACAAGCAAAATCGATTTTTGTCCAAATATTTTTTCGCAATTGTCACACACGAAATCTTTGCGACCTTCGTGAACTGTTTTTTGGTGTCTCAACAAATCTGTTTTTCTTCCAAAGTTCTTCTCACACTTGTCGCACAAGTAATCTTTACGACCGTCATGTACTCTCCTTTGATGGTCGAGCAAAAGCCACTTATATCCAAATTTCTTTTCACATTTGTCGCATACGAAATCTTTACGGCCTTCGTGAACTGTTCTTATGTGCAAAAGCCAAACAGATTTATG